GCGGGTCGTTGAGTCCCAGGTGCTCCAGTTGAGAGTACAGCCCGCCCTTTGAGCGGAAATCGGGAATGCCGAGTGAAGTAGAGATACCGGCGCCGGTGAGGACGATGATGTTCTTGCTCCGCTGTAGCAGGTCCACGGCGTCATCCACCGTATTGAAGCGGAACAGCTTGGCGCGCTTAGACAACTCTCGGCTGATGGCCAGCGACAAGAGGCTGAAATAAGCCTCATCTTCGGCGCCCTCGAGGAAGGTGGGGGGCTTGAGGCCAAAGGCCGACAGCAGCTTCTTGGCCGTGTAGCGACCGGCGTCGACGGTCCTTCTACAGAATTCTGCGGGACCAAGCGCTCTTAATTGGTGGCGCAGGCCCATGGCCTCGTCAGGCGTGCAGCTGTCAGGATCTTTTAGGCACGATAGTTAGCAATCAAGTAGGAGCGATTTAGGGTGAGTAATGACAGGAACGCGTAATCCCAAGCGTAGTCATGTGAGTGAGTAAGTGAATGACCGAGATAGACCTACCATCCGAGGAAAGTTTCGCATCGCCCAACTCAGCTATGGCATCCTCCAGCAGCGAGTCGGTTTCCCATGCAGATTCCTTGGCGTCCCTAACGCGTTCTTCCAGTTCCTGAAGACCGACGGCGTGCTTGATGTCCTCAAGGGTTGGGTTCTCGGGGACCTCGAACGTGTCCACCTTGTACGCGGTGTTTTTGGTTTTGTTGTTGTTGCGCTTCTTGACCGTGACGGCTTTTGTCGCCGCCCGTTGAGTCTTCATCTTGAGCCCGTCTTGTTGACAACTGCTCTGGGCGGTGGGATGGGAAAGAGTGAGGGGATGACGGTTATTGATGAAACCTCCTTCGCGGAGAAGAGGTGATGAGATGAAGCTTGGGAGCAGACAGGAACCAAGCTGAGCAAAGCAAGAACACTTAGCTGGGCGTACGTGTCTGCTTGTAATATGGATGGGGTGCGAGACTGCCGACCACCCGACGGGTTTATTTGTGAGACAGGGCGGATAGTAGCCTGGACAAAGACTGGGCTGGTATGGGCTGGGTGAAGGGGAAATGAAGAGCGACAAGAGTTGGCTGCAGAATGCGTAAGAGAGGGAAACAACACCTGAACCTCCTTTTTCTCTCTTCCACTCTTGTCAAACTGTCTGGTTAAAGTCTAGAAGGACAACTTGACGGTTTGATGAATTTGGGCGAAGGAGAGAGAGAAAGTAAAAGTTGGGTGTGTCTGTGGATGGGAAGGAAGATTTGACAAGTTGCAGACGGTCGGGCCCTCAAGGGTGTGAGAAGGAGGGTTAAAAAAAGGATGCCTTGGCTGCGAGTGAGGTTGAGCGTGGCCGAGTTCCGCCTTTTTTCGCTCGAAACTTGTCGGTTATCTCCCTGGGGTGGCGTGACGAATATGACACTGTGCCCTGGTCTTTGTCTAACAAGCAGATGAGCAGCAGATGGACGAGTTGCAATTCTGCGTGAACAGCCGCGGCGGCGAACCAACAAACGAGGGTGCAGGTTGTGTAGGCCGCAAGAGTTGACACCAAGTCAAATGGATGATGGATGGAGTGGTGAATAGGACGTTGGTTTCTCTTTGTCCCACGTTTGATGGTAGGGAGAGAAACTGAGTTGCAAAGTTGGGCCGTGTTGCAGAGGCACAAGCCGATCGAGACTGAACGGAAGGGACGGCCTAATACCTTATTGATGGATGGACTGGTCCAGGTTGGATGACCGGATACGATGGGAAGTGTGAAGGAAAAAAGTTGCAAAAGGGTGTGGGAAGGTGGTTGAGTGAAAAAGGCGAGCTAAAGTCGTCGTCGGTTCAGGCGTCATGTACCTTGGGGAGAAAAAGGTAGGCAGGGCAGAGATGGAAAGAGCAAGAGGGAGAGGTAAGCAATCGAAAGGGAAGGAAGCTGGGCTAATAGAAAATAGGCTAGCAAGTAGCACTTGTGTGTGTGTCGTCTGCACAGAGAAGGGGATGTGAGTTCCGGAGGGAGAGGAAGGGAAATCACGGAAGCGGGCGAACGAGATCTGGACCCAAGAGACGATCGAGTAGGTAAAACCAGTGGGTAAAATTCGATGGGAACGTGGCACAGAGAATGAGTGAATGACTGAGTGATGCTGCGACCGACGAACCGAGTAACAGAGCCAAAGTAATCAAAAGACAAGAAAGTACAGATACGACGACGAACGAGTACGACCTACTGCCGGTCCAGCCCATAAACCAAGCCAGGTAAAAAAGGGAAGGGCAATCAAAAAGGCAAAAAGGTCGACCGGGGTGGTCCGTCTTAGTAGACTAAGGTAGGCAAGGTAGGTGAAGCATGGAAGGGTAGTTCAGCAATACTCAGCTGAGGCAGATGCAGATGCAGACGCGAATACAAACCCAACCATGCCATGCTAATTATGTTTGCTCTGTAATCCGATCCGTCTTATTATGTACTGCCTTCCAGGTGCACTACCTTACGCTTTCTATCAGCACGATAGAACTGCGCGGTTGAATGACGGATGAGACGTAAACCATTCATCAGCAAAGAGATGCCATAGTGTGTTAAGTCGGGTCAATGTTAAGTTAGGTATGTAAACTTGGGCCAAGGCATCTCGAAGGTACAGGCGAGCAAAAAGGCAAGGAATGTGACGGAAACCAGAACCCAGCGTACCAGCCAGGCACAGACAGACAAATGAGCTACCCCAACAGCTCTGAATCGCCCGCTGGATGAAATACTCAATTGTAATACCTGAGTGTGAGCGCAGGAACAGAGAGAGAAAAAGAGAGAGAGAGTGAGAGAGTGTGTGTGTGTGTGCGGGTGTGCGTGGACAGTTCCATCCAACCAAATCTAGCAACCAAACACATCCCACATCCCATCCATCCTCCAGTCTCAACCGCGCACCCGTCCTTCCTTCCATCAGAGAGTTTCGGAACCTGGCTCCAAATGAAACTCAGCCATCCTTTAATGGTCTCCCGCTTATCAGCATCGATGAAATTCTCTACGGGATCTGTCCCGCTTGATGCCCTCTCGGGCCCCCCTCCCTCCCCTTTGCAGCGACCTCTCCCTCTTGTCCCTCTTGTGATATAATGATTGCCTTGATTACTTGGGCCTAATGTCCGACCGGGGGTGATAGACTGATGACTGGGTCCAAGACACACACACATGTAGACGAGGCCAGTCTCCAATCAAATGGATCCGTCATGCTCACCGTACCTACCGTACCCGCCACCCTCCGAATATACCTCGATTGAGCCCATCGGCGATAATCGCTCTCATCATCTCATGAAATAATCGTAAATTGCATCACCTTACGGTTCTATTGACAATTCCTTACCAAGCGCATCAACTGCAGACACATATCCTCATCAAGAGAGGCATTTTCGAGGTTTTCTGTTAAGCTGTTTGATCCACGAAATGCCCATTCTCTGATTGTACTTTGACCTAGGCTTGACTCGTCTGATCCGAGCGAGTGACGCTCCCAGGACGATCAACCCCCCTTGGCGTCAAGAAATGTACTCACCCCCTTATCTACCTTGCCGAACTCCATCACAACAAGAATTGAGCGAGACTGAAAAGCTCGAGCCTGATACTCCACCTCCCGGCTTCTGAATATTACGAGTCCTTTGAGAAAGAACAGTCTCCCTCGTGATGAACAATCTTCCCCAACATGGCTTCACCAACTCCTCGCAAAAAAAAAAAAAAAAACCATCCAACTTACTACAGCCAAGGAATCGTGGCTTAGCCCACCCCCAATATGTAACGACAATCATATGCCGCGCAGTATTTCCTGGACGGCGGGTACGAGTTTAGAGCTTGCGCCAATTAATGCCACTCAAAGAAAAACCAACTCTGTTCCTGTTTTTTGGGGTCCCGCATGTGACCGCGGCCGTCGCCCACCACACCCGGCTGGTTGCGTTACCAGAACAAACACTAATTAACCAATCCAACCCAATGCCATCCAGCGTGAGGGACGCCTCCTTCTCATCCTGTGTATGGAAGGGTGAATAGCCCAGTGAAATCGGAGAGAGGCACTGGCACTGAGACCCTGCGCCCTGTTTGTTCAGTATGAAGATAGTTATGTTTGTACCGCACAGAAACCGACTGAGCGGAGGTAAACCTGAATGTGTTACACTTATCTAGGGTGCGCGAATACTATTAGGATCTGCGGGGAATCGGGAACGTAAAAGCGCTCTGCCTGAGGTACTTCACATTCATACATGTATCATCATCTCTCTGATTTTCATCGCTAAGCTTCCTGGTAAAAAGAATTCATGGCTAGTCGAATCCCGTCGGCAAAGCTAAGAATAAAGTAGGAAAGTTCAGTATGGCAACCATCAATAAGAGTTGGTCGCTCTGGACATGGATTGCGTAACTAGACGCCTCCGGGCGGGGGCCACAGGTATCACTCTCCGCAAATCATCGCATCATGGACGCTTTCCATCCCCATCATGAAACATATCATTTCCTTTCTCAAAACACCCATTAATTCAAACAGAGTGGTAAAGTCATGCTCAACTACATTAAATTGGCCGCCGTATCCTAGGCAGGGCCGGCTCTCTGCTGAAGGTCATCGACTTCACGGCATCGACCCTACCATTCATTCTCTTGCCAGACATCACCGGGCAAATCTCCCTTTTCGTCATGTGCCACGCCAGTAACCTCTTCAGTCCACGTATTCCCAAAGCCTGGATTTTGCGGATGGTTCGGCCCACAAATACTAACTCCATTTTGCTTTTCGTTGCTATCGCGCAATCCGCAACCCCACGAGTCGTAATAGTTTCCTAATCTCTTCCTTTTCTTAGGAACACCGGCAGCATCGAGCCAACCATCCTCTAACACAGTTCTCAACTGGCGCACATGCATGTCAACTTGGGACTTTTTGCCATTTCCTTCTCAACCATTAATATCCGGAACGGCTCATCAGCGCCCCGAACAGCGCAACTCTATCAACTCATATGTATAAGTATCATGTAAACAACCCTGGGATGCCATGACAGTAACCCAGCTTTGCTATTTCCAGAGAAACCCCTAAATTAGACTCTCATATTTATCCAACCCGCTCTTCTGTTGTGGCTTCTGCTGCTGCTGTTGTTGCTGTAGGCCAGCCATACCGTTCATGCCCATGTTGCTGTTCATCATACTGTTCATCATACCGCTAGACGCCATCCCCATGCCCGTTCCAGGCCGCGAGCCCATGCTGTTCATACCATTCATCGGTTGTTGACTCATCAACCCCATCCCGGTGCTAGCTGCAGGTTTGCTGAAAGCGCCCAATCCTGATTGCACAGGCGGTGTATGACTGGGAGGTGGAGGTAGGCTAAACCCGGAAGATCCGGAAAAGCTCGTCGAGTTGCCCGTTGGCGGTGGTGGCAAGGAAAACGAAGATGACTGTGACACGCCTGGTCTCTGTCCACCGAGCGACATGTTGGACATGGGCGTGCTCATTCCACCAAAAGCGGAGCTCGGAGGTGGCGACATGGAATTACCGGGCGAAAAGGCCAGCGTCGCTGTTGACGAAGACGACGACCACGGGTTCGAAGTTGCCGCCGACGCCGTTGACCAATTGATTGATGAACTGGACAGTGCCGCTGGTTGCGACGACTGCGTAGTTGGCTGTAGCGGTTTCGAAAACTGAGTTGTTGTCGGAGTCATGGTTTGGAAAGAACCCATGTCCGGCGTCACCGTCCGGAAACTAGGTTGGGGTTTAGGCGCAGGAGGTGGTGCGGTTTGGGTAGGACTCGGTGTTGACCACGCAAAGGCCGGAGTTGCCGACCTACTACCGGGCGCGGGCGAGGTAACTCTGGCCGTGGCGGGTGTTTCTTCCCAGCTAGAGAATGCATCCGAAGTTGACGTTCGTGTTGTTTTACCTTTGACGAGACTCTCAAAATCGTCTTCCGTCGCTCCATTGGATGTATCAAAAGAGGTCCCGCTGACGCCACCGAAGGCCATGAAGTCTTCATTAGTCCCGGTGGTGCTGCCGTTGGTGCCAGAGAGCTCTTGCAACTTCCTACTCTGCTCATCTTCTACCCTCTTAGACAACTTCTTGATGAGGTCCATGAAGCTCTGGAACTGTTTGAGGTTAAGCAAAGGCCCGAGACTCATATGCCACAAAATGGGGAGGATATCAATCGCGACAAACTCGGCATCCGCTGCTTCGCCCACAACCTGCAGGACACCGTGGGCTGCCATCATCACCGCAGGCTCTTTTGTTTTGATGGCTTTGATCAACGGAATGATCTTCTCCTGCATCGTGTATTTATCCAGCATGCTGGATGACGATGTTGCTTTCTTATTGGACGTACCGAAAGCATCGAGGCCATCGTCTTGCGCGTCTGAAGTTCCACCACAGAGGACAACGAATGCTTGGCAACCGCGCACTTTGATGGCCAAACTGCTGGTCTTGCTAAAGACTGCAGCAATGACCGGGAACAGCTCGTTTTTGATGGTGCTGAAGTCGAGAACTGGGAGAATAGATGGTAAACCTCTCAGAGCCGCGTCAACAACGGCGGGTGTTGGTGCTTCAATTGCCGCATAGACAACCGGCAAGATGTCTATATCATTATTAGCGCGTGCCGCCGGAAACATTTTTGTCATGATATTTCTTACCGTCAGTGAATTCCTTGCCATTACAGTTGTTGCAGATTGTTGACATGTGTTCAAGCACAACCATCAACCCAGCATCCTTAGTCGGGTCTCTCTCGGGAGGCTGATCCTTCTTCGGAGGTGGGGCAAAGGTCTCTTTTAGAGCCGGCCGTACTTTTTCGGCAAAGACCCTTCTCGCGGACGGCAATAGATCGACGATAGTGAAGACGTTTTGAAGAATCAACGCTATGAGATCCTTGTCTTTCATCTCTTCAAGCAACGCTGGTAACAATTTCTTCTCCATAACCGTCTTGGGAAATGAGGGCATGACTTTGACTAGTCCTCGCATGAACTGGGCTTTTTCGTTTGGAGTCTTTGCTGGGAAGGCGTCGAGGAACCTGATTGTCGAAACAAGCACATTGTTGAAGTATTCACTTTCTTGAAACTCCTTTGCGGTGAGACGCTGGGCAGGTCGACGTGTGATCAGGCGTGGTAGAACATGCTGGACCAACTCTTTGGGTAAAGGCCGTGATGATAAGAATTGGTTGGAAACAGACGGAACTGTTGATGGCGAGGAAAAGGTCCTCTTGTATGTTGATAAGCTGCCGTGAGCTTCTATGGGAGAGCGATGGGGTGAGTTGTAAAGGGCCACGGCTAGGAGACCAAGTGAGAACATATCGGCAAAATTGGTGAAGTTGTTGTCAATGACGAAGTCAGGAGAGGTGTAGTCAAGGTTTAGCTGCACAAACCGAGGCAACCGAGGGTCTGGGTTGAGCACCTCTGATAAGCTGATGGGTTGGAAGGAGGTTGGCTTGTTGGACCCTTCGGACGGGGCGCAAAAGGCGAGACCACTGATCTTCCAGTCTGACTGTTTCGAATTAGCAAAAGTGTAAAGCTATCAAGGCTCTTCTTCCCGCTGGACTGACCTTGGCGTTCACAATAATGGCATCTGGTGTCAGGTTTCCATGCACCAGCCCAGCGTTTTCGTGCAAGAACTCGAGAGCTTTGCTGATCTGGAGGAGGCCCTTCTGGATCTCGAGCTCATCAATCTCCAACTCGCGCCGCCGGCGCACACCATCCGAATCCTCAGTGACATAACGGCTTGACCGGCCGCTGACACCACCACTCCGCTCCTGATCGTCTTTCTCTTGCAGCAGAGCCGCTAGAGAGCCAGTGACAGCTTCCGTGACGAATTGTAGCCCGCCACCTCTTGTTTCTTCCACTGGCTCGACAAGCTCGAGGACGCTCGGGTGTCTCAGCTTCGCCAAGCTGGAGGCCTCCTTCTTCAGGCGCTCAATGACCTCCTCCGTGGCTCGCTTGAAGGCGGACGCACTTGATCTACCGAGACTGCTGCCATGGCTGTCGAGTCCTTTCTTGTCGAACACAAATACGCTGTATGATTTCCCCGTGGACTTCTTCTTGCAATCGTAAATCTTCCAGGGGCCGGCGGACGAGGTCTGGGCCGAGGAGATGGAGTAGTTCGCGGTGATGTTGGTCGATGATATCGACTTGAGTGCCGAGGAGAACATGGTTGTCGTGTCTTATAACGTGGGTCGTCTACGTCGTCAAGGCGGAGGGAACGGGATCTGAGGGGACTCGATCGTCATGACGGTCAAGGCACAGATATGGAGTTTGTGCCGAGTCGGGGCGGTCGTCTTCAGTCGTGCCCGCAGCCTGGGGGAGTTAGGTAGTCTTTGTCCACGAGCGATGGAGGTAGTGCAGGGCGTCGTGAAGGGGACACCTTGAAAATGTTGCGAGGGACCTCCTGCGAGGCTTTATCGAGGACGGGAAGCTCCGGAGATGCGCCGGGACTGTGTGCGGAATTCAATAAAAGAAGACGGATGACAGACGCAGGGCGCACTCCCGTAGATTGGCAAGTTGGCCCAAAGATGATGTTCTCATTCAGCCGCGTCGACTTCCACGTCGCTGATAGGCAAGAGCGTCTCAAGTCCAATCAAAATGACCATCCATGCTTTTTAGCGATGATCCCACAGTTTCCCACCCCTGTGTCTAAGGCTCGGCTTCAAATAATAAGTTGGGCACCCCTCTACCTGAGCTTGGGGGCGGGTGTGGGCAGCCCACCTTCTGGTCGCAGCTTGGGGAAGACACCTCCTGTGCCATGCCGAACCAATAACGCTGACCTAAGCTTTGTCTTTGAGACAGCTTGGCTTGCTACCTTACTTAAGGTGCCTACGAAGTACATCATACCATCAGGTATCCACCATTAGTAGCACCAGGTACGTATCTCGACCACCACACCATGCTGACCATGCACCGCTGCACCTCAGATAGCGGGACGCTTCCGGAGCCGGGACCCTGAACGACAATCTTGGATATCTGGATCTGGCGGTGCATGGAAAGCAACGGCTTAGAAGTCCGATAACGCTCCGAAATCCTGACTCTTGCCGCACCGTACACGCCAATCTCAAATTGCGCCCTTCGCCCTACCACTTCTGTTGGTCTTTTACCAAGCATTGGATTGGTCAATTGGAATCGCCGTTGACCGCAATTGACGATTGGTATCTTGGTTTCCTTGAGAAGAGTCACACTCGCTCGTTCTCTGTTGGTATTTATCTGGGCATCTTCGCTGTGTACAAGGTTTTGGAAAATCCTCAACCTCCTTTTTTTTTTCTTACTTTATACCCACACAAAACGCCAAACAAACCGTCGCCATGATGCGACAGCTCTTCCCCCGCGCCGCTGGCGCTCTTAGAGTCCCCCGCAGCTCTCCCAGGTTAGCCACCGCATGGCAATCAGCAAGACTCTACAGCGTCAAGCCCGCCGCCGCCTCCGCGGCCAAGCCTTTGGGTCTCGATGCCTCAAAACTCACCATTGAGAAGACAAAGACCCCCGGAACGCTGGGCAATCCCGAGGAGCTCGTCTTCGGCCGCAAGTTCACCGGTCAGCACTAGCCCTCACTCTCTCCCATCTCCGAATTGCAATTGCTAACCGTTCACTGCAGATCACATGCTCACCATTGAGTGGAACCAGGAACAGGGCTGGCTGGACCCCAAGATCGTTCCCTACCAGAACCTTTCTCTCGACCCCGCGACCTGCGTCTTCCACTACGCCTTCGAGTGCTTCGAGGGCATGAAGGCCTACAAGGACAAGTCAGGCAATGTCAGGCTCTTCCGCCCCGACAAGAACATGGCCCGCCTGAATAAGTCTGCCGCCCGCATCGCCCTGCCCACCTTCGAGCCCACCTCGCTCATCGAGCTCATCTCCAAGTTCGTCAACCTTGACAAGCACTACATCCCTGATGAGCGCGGCTACTCCCTCTACCTCCGCCCTACCATGATCGGCACTCAAAAGACTCTCGGCGTTGGGCCTCCCGGCTCAGCCCTGCTCTACGTCATCGCCTCCCCCGTTGGTCCCTACTACCCTACCGGCTTCAAGGCGGTGTCTCTCGAGGCCACCGACTACGCCGTCCGCGCCTGGCCCGGTGGTGTCGGTGACAAGAAGCTCGGCGCCAACTACGCGCCCTGTATCGTTCCCCAGCTCGAAGCCGCCAGCCGCGGTCACCAACAGAACCTGTGGCTCTTCGGCGAGGAGGAGTACGTCACCGAGGTCGGCACCATGAACATGTTCGCCGCCATCAAGAACAAGGAGACCGGCCAGAAGGAGCTCGTCACCGCCCCTCTCGACGGCACCATTCTCGAGGGCGTCACTCGCGATTCCGTCCTTTCCTTGGCCCGTGAGAGACTTGTGCCTGAGGGCTGGATGGTCTCGGAGCGCAAGTACACCATGAAGGAGCTCGACGAAGCGGCCGATGAGGGCCGCCTCATTGAGGCATTCGGTGCTGGTACCGCTGCCATTGTCAGCCCTATCCGCACTATTGCCTGGAAAGGCAAGGCTATCAACTGCGGTCTGACCGAGGCCGAGGAGTCTGGTGAGCTTACTCTGAGAATCAAGGGTTGGATGGAGGCAAGACAGTACGGTGACGAGGAGCACGAGTGGAGCTACGTTGCTCAGGATGTTGCTGCGTAAAAATTGGCCTTTAGAGCGGCATGTAGTAGACTTGTAGATATCCAGATGGAAAGCGTTCAATATGATTGTAAAAAAAATAAAATAAAAAGAAGACCTTCAAAATACGCTGCTTTAACAGTGAGTTAATGTGGCATTGTTGGTAAGGCGAATTCTTTCTTTAATGATGAGAAGACTTTATCGACTTCTAGACTTCTACAAGTCGGTATTAAAATGACACGTAGGTTCAATATGAACAAGCTACTTACCAGACTGAGTCATTTGGTCAAGTTTCTCTATGTAATCCTGCTAGAGCTCCATTGGCGCCATTTGGTCTGTTTCATATCAATCTCTCACCAAGTCCAAACACAAGAATCCCAGGCCGTTGTCACGAAGCTTCATAGCCCTGTAGCAGACATTATCCAAAGCAACTCTAGTCATTCAGAAGGCTTACGAAGATCGAAAGGCCCTCACAGTCTTATAGGAAAAGGTAGAAAAAAGGAAAGCTAGTTCAAGGGCAGGTCATGTACACTTTTTCCGGGGAAAAGGAAAGACACCATTGCCGTGGAGTATCGACAACGAGCTGGCTTTCCCCTCCGCCCTCCGGGGAATTCCTTTCTCTCTTCTCTCCGCTTCATCCATCTTTCAAAGTAAAAAAAAAGTCTTCCACCCTCGCGGCTCGGTTTCTTTGTATTCCGTTCCGTCCCTTTCTAATATTCTTAAAACCAAGCTCCAGGTGAAAGTGCTTCGGGGTCTGTCCGTCGAATACGTCGTGTTCGTAGTCAGTGGTCGTAGGAATGCTTTCCTTTTCACTTCTCAGGGTCCGGCAGGATGCCCTCCTTTTCTAATCTCCGCCTGGCCTCCTCGAGGGCCCAGGTATCGAGTCTATATTGCGGACGGGTAACGTTAGCCGCGGATCAATAGGATGTCCAAATTGCCTCATCCCAATCGAGAATATCAAAGTGACCCAGCCCTTGCCCTGGTCCATTTGAGGTACCACTCTATACGGTGCACGCCGATGGGATATCTGAGACGGAAAGAAGGGCCACTCACGAAGTATCAGGCTTGAAGGCAAGAACAACGCCAGTGGCGATGATGCCTCCACAGAACAGGGTGTAGAAAGGCGTCTCCCAACCCTCCTTCTCGTACTTCTCGCCAGGCTTGACACCCCAGAGCCAGCCGGAAGGAGGATCAAAGTCGGAACCACCACCAGCGCGGCGGGCTGTCAGAGAGAAGGCCCTCGTGGACGCTCCGGCGGCAGTGGTCTTGATGGCGCGGGCGGCGCGGATGGCCACGGTTGGTCGTATCGCCGTCATCGTCGGGGCGGGAAGGAGTCACTTTTCGAGAGAGGAATGAGTGGAGTCGGGACGTCTCAATTGACGTGTTTTCGTTGATGGCTGAGGAGCGGATGGGGTGCGTTCGCGGGCGCGCAGTGCTCGGCTGTTGAGTCGTTTGCACTCACGGGTGCGGTTGTTGGATTGGAGTTGGATTCTCGGACCCATGTCGGGATCGTTAGTCATCCTGAGTCACGTGCAGGTTACCGACTCCACCCGAACCGCGGCCTCTTCGAGCAGCTGAACCCCTGCAAGTGCTTGCCTCTTTTGTCACTCAGCGAGAGGACCCTGAAAAGTGACCGAAGCAATCTAATCGAAAGGCGTGAATGGGTTCCTTGGCTTATAGTGCTCTGATCTTGAGTTGCGTCAGAAGCTCTCCATCGAGATCAAGTTTCCAAGATGTCGCTACGTCTCAGTGATCTTTCAATTAGGCAGCTCTGATATAATCAGCTCGCCGGTTTCCTTGTCACTCGAGAACCGCAATTCGTTGTCTCGTCGTGTTGTCACCCAATCAAATAAAATGCCGTGACAAAGTTAAGACATGATTCTCTTCTTTGTGATAGGTAAACCGCGTCGACGTCCTGAATTTCCGTCTTGATAGTCCAATAACGCCTTACACTTCATAATCCTGACAACATTCAAGGCCAATTGAAACCAGTGCCGATACTCCAAACACTGCGATATCCTCAATAAGCACCGTTCGTAATATCGTTAAGTATATCCCTGAGAATGACTTTATCCTTCATAAGTACTTTCTCTCCAATTTTCGCCCGTTTAGGCTCCGGCCGACGATTTTCCTTCCCCAAGGCCAGCTTGGGGGCCTTTCGTGGGCTGACACCCTTTCTCGGGCTCATGTTCTTCTTCGCCTTCATCGGAGACACGCCGCTGGCCGTCAACTGCGTCGCCGTGTCGTCAAAAAAGTGGCTATCCATTGCGTCAGGCGGCAGGTCGTAGATCCAATCTTTCTCTTCCATGAGGCCGATGAACTTGCTGAGCATCTCGTCCTTTCCGCTGCCCTTCAAGGTGCTCTTGCTTCCTACTACAAGCAGCTTCGTCTTAGCGCGAGTGAAAGCAACGTTGATGCGTCGCCAATCCTTCAATAGTTCGCCGATACTGCAGCTCTCGTTACTCCGAACCAAGGAGAGAATAACGACATCCTTATCTCGTCCCTGGAATCGATCGGCGGTGTGCATCTCCACGCCCACATGGCCGCGAAGGCCATGTTTAAGTAAAGATAATTGAGAGCGATAGTGCGTCATCACTCCGATTTCCCCGTCAGGTACACCTATTGTAAGGAGACCCTCGACGAGTTGAACTACAATGCGTGCTTCGGCTGGGTTGACAATTCGATTGCCCTTTGCCTCTTCTCGGGTAAGAGATTGGATAGTATCGGTGTTGACAAACCTTACTCGAGCTTCGCTATCCAGCAAGTCTCGCAACCAGCAGCAGTTTTGGTTCATGGACGTACACACAGACTTCGGAATCCCTAGCCTGAGCATTGATGTTGAGTCGTAATGAAGGCTCTTCAGCGCACTCATGTCGGGCACGTCGAGCTTTTTGAATCGCAGCTCCTCAGTACCACATCGCAACCTCCCTTTGTAGATCAAAGTATTGCTCAGAGTCATGATATCCTCGCACATGCGGTATTGGTGCTCCAAGTTGACCACCGAGTCCGGATGCGTGTCAGAGAGAAGCTTGAACAAGCTCACATCGAGCCCACCTTCTCGAGCTTCTTCGTTCTGAACCAGGGGAGGAAGCTGGTTGTGATCTCCCACAAGTACAAACGTCTTTGCCATCCTGATTGGCCCTAAACAAATAGGTAGCGTTATCTGAGAGGCCTCATCAACAATACAGTAGTCGAATGTACGCTCATTGAAGAGAGCATGGCCAACGCCGAGACAAGTAGTGGCAACAATGGGTGTATCGTGCCACGCTTCCTTGATCTGCTCAAAAGAGTTCATCGGCTGGCCAGCCAGGATCGCGAATTGCTGGACCTCTGGGTGAACCTTGGCGGGAGCGCCGAGTCTGAGGACCGGGGTCTGGTCGTTCTTGAGCTTCAGGAGAATGTTGTCGACGGCAGTGTGCGTGTACGAAGTAAGAAGTACGCTCTTCCCTTGAGAGACCAAAGCCCGAATGATATGTGCAATAGTTGTGGTTTTTCCGGTGCCAGGCATCCCAAGAACTAGCGCATAGTCCTGGGCACTCATAACCTTCTCGATCGCTCGGTGCTGGTCAACATTCAGAGACTCTCGATCGGCTACGACGTATTGTGTAGGTGCTGCCTTGAACCTTGGCGCTACCAAATCCACCACAGCGCGACGGATTTCTCGAGACCCGAAGACGCCTTCAGCCATGGTCTGCACAAGGTTATTTCGAACTGTGGCCATGCCATTGCTGAACTCGTCTTTGTCAAGCCGATAGCGGATAGGCGCTTGTTTAATTTTGCCCTGGGATTGATCTGCTGTGCAACCCTCAGGCGCGACCTCCATAATGCTAGCAAAAACTTGATTGTCGTTTTCATCGAAACCGGGCTGCTTGATGCGGGCGTTGTGCAGGCGCCGGTCGACGGCTACACTGATTCTCTGTTTTCGAACAGAAATGACGTAGCCCAAGGCGAGGGCAAAGTGACCTTGTTCATCCGAAACGACTATAGGCTCTCCAACATTCAACTGTGACTCCAGGAAAGAATGGCCTGAATTTGGGACTCTCTTCACGAAGGTGTACTTGAATCGGTTGATCTTGGAAGTGCCCAAGTCCTCAGACGTCGAGCCCTCTTCAATGATGACGTCGGAATGGCATCTTCCCACTTTCTCTCGATCCTGGCTGACCATCGTCCAGAGTTCTCTCTTTAGCTTCTGGGTCTCTTTCTCTTCTTTCGTCAAGAGATTCTCCCATTTGAGGAAAAACTTTTGGTGCTTTGGCGTGAGGTGCTTGACAACTTCATCAAACTGCTTATCCATGCCACTCGTTTCTCCATCGCCGTCGTCGGCGAGCTTGTGGTAAATAAAGCAAGACGTCTTTGCATAGCACTTCCCACACATGTTCTTGCTCCTCTTCATAGGAGGCAGTTGAACGCTCCGTTCTCGAATGTGACAAGCTAGTTGATTTCGCTGCATGATCATGTGCCGTAGTTCATGCCGGATGGTCGGAATTCGCATTGTTTGTGACGTTTCCATATAGTAGAGAATTCCATACACAATGTTCAAGTCGTATCGATCGGAAAGTAACAGGTTATAAAGCGCAGTCTGTGCCATGTGATTGCTGTTGGCATGTTTACCCGTTTTGACTTCGAACGGGACGGTAAGCGTTTTGGTGTCTTTGCCATCCTTCAAGGTGACTTGGACGGTGGCATCGATATTTCCCTTCAATCCATACATGGGCGACCAAACATGTTCCTCGACATCGAGCAGTTTGCTGACGCACATATTGGCCTTCTTGCCATTGCGATCGAGAACAACAGCATCGAGCTTTCACCAATATTAGTCATGACTGCTAGAAGGGAAAGAAGGACATGACATACGTTCGGCTGAGGGGCCACGAAGGCTGTGGCCCAGCAGCTCAACTCCGTCATTTTCGACTGGAGATGTTCCCTAGCGATGCTGGTGCTGACTTTTATTTTGTACAGGTCCTCAATGTGTTTCTCCATAACTCTATCAATGACGCCGCTTAGAAACCGGAGATCCCATTGATTAGCCATGAGAGCTTCTTGGAATATTTCATGCAACATAGTCCCGTAAACCAAGGGAGCAGTAGCTTCGCTGGTTGCCTTTACACGGTCCTGTAATACTGCTCGGCGCATGCAGCTGAACGAATCAGCAACGACGGTGGCAGATACCAACTGATCTGGGTGCAGGATCAAGATATTATGCGAATCGTCAATGATGCATTGACCGCTGGCTGAGAATGTTCCGATAACATGCACATATGCCTTTGCGTGTGCTGGCGTTTCAAACCAATCACCTCGAAGGTGGATCGTTTTCATGGCCTTACTGTTGTCGGCTTGAATGATGAGAATCTGGCCACAGGTTAGCGACTGGTGTTGAATCAATAAGTCTACCTACCTTCTCTAATCGAGAAAGCCCGCGCTCGTCGGTGTATTCGTTGTCTAGGACATTGGTCACCAGATATCGCTGGATAGCTTTGGGCTTTTGGTTTTTCTACCTTCATCTTAGCGTTTGCTACCGTGGTAGTCGTTCATCGGGACGTACAGCTGTCGCCGGCGAGGCTTGTGGCTGCTGGACCGATTGAGTCGCAGCAAGCTCTGCCGCATCGAAGTCGAAATCTCCCCCAAAGTCGTCTCCGAAGGCATCATCCAAGTCGTCCTGTTCAGGAACAGGTACGCTTATTGCGCCAAGAGGCGATTTTGCAAACGGCGTTTGGGATGCTGTGTTTGCTACTACGCTCTCCAAAATGTCCTCTGCAGCCTCGAAAATGTCATCGTCCAAGTCGCCGAACTCATCGTCTAGGCTAACGCTGCTTTGCTTGTTGGGTTGGACGGAAGCAGGTACGGGAGTAGGCGTGCTTGGCCTAGCTTCTTTCTTGGAGTTTGACAGACTGATACTGGCTTCAAGCTCGAGAAAAGTGTCGTCATCAAACTCGTCGAAGTCGTCAAAGTCAACATCGCCGTAATCAGACTCCGCCAAACCCGCGTTCGTCTTCGGGTCCAGCCCTAGATCCTGGGCCACACCGATGTCAGAGGTGTTTCCTGCAGGTGGTAGATTCGGGGCTCGGATTGTTTTCCTTGATGGCGAGAGCAACGGCGGTCTGAATACATTGGTCTTCCTCTTCTTAAGAGATGGCGACTCCATGTCCTGATCGACGAACGGTTCAAAGTCTTCTGGCAGGCTATCCTCTTGCATGCTTCCAGTGACAGTGTCCAATAATGCTGTAACAAGTGAGTTCTTTGAACTGTCGGTCGTCTCCCGCGTCAAGGTGCTAGTAAAAGAGGGCGCATCCGAGCGTTCTACTCTTCGTCTCTTTGGCCAGTTGAGACCGCAACTGATTGCCCTGCGCAGGCTGCCATCGCCTGCGGGTGCAGGTGCCGTCTTGAGGTTCCGCGGTGATGAAGAGAACATTAGATTCGCGAGTGTGGGATTCGTGAGACCGAGTGGCGTCACGTTTCCGTTGCTGGTGAGGGAGAAGCGGTCCCATAGTTCCAAGGTCGGATCAGCATGTGGCGATTTGAGTGCTTCGCTCAGCTTCTTCACGTTGACAGCCGGCGTGGTAGGTTTATCGTTTGGTGCGGGGGATGATATGGGAGACGAGCTCCTGGCCCGTTTGCGGCCTTTCCTATGCATCATTGGCGAGAGGGCGGCGGCGTACGTCCGGTCGTTCTTGTCCCTCTCATTGTTCCACAGAATCCGCTCACTAGGAGATGTTTGTGTTTTTTCTTCCTTGGGGGCGTTCGACGCCATCAGGTCGTGCCAGCTCAGCTTCGTCGATGGGGTGATGGCGATGTCGTCTCGGGTCTGTCGAACCCCATCTTCCGTTGCGGTGCCATTTTCCTGCTCCGCAGTCTCTGCCTTGATTGCAGACTGGAATTGGAATTGGTTCAGCTTGCTCTTCGTTTTGTCGGAGACGGGCGCCAGAGGCCGGGACGTTTGGACATTCACCGGATTGCTCTTCGAACGTTGCCACGAGCGGTTCTATAGTAAAGTCAGCAGGCATCGCATGGAGGGAACGTGTTTTGGTGTCGACCTTTGATGGGAGGCCGACATGTTCCGAATATGACTTCTTGAGAGGCATATCGGCGGGTTTGGCTTCTCAATGCCAAAGCAAGCTATCGTGAACTTCTTTGTAGGTTCCAATCATGCCAGTGCAAGGGTGTGAAGAAGCAGTTGGGGCCCTCGAGGAAGTGTTAGAGTGGTGGCCCCCTCAGCGCGCTTGGAACGCGTTCTAGCTCCACGTTTGTTTAATACCTACGCGTCGCTGCACGTTCCCGGCGACATGTGGGGCACTTGGGGATGGTGGACAACCTAAGTAGGTAGGTGATTGCCCCTGCAACGAGCAAGCCCATCCACATCAACTTTGCAACTCGGGCAAGCACGCTTGGTTCATTCCGGGATGTTTTGCTGCCGCGAATTCAATGTACCTTGTGTGGAGTAGGAGGCGATGAGCGCTTGCCCATGCACCAGAACTTTGACAGTCGTGAACTTAATGGTCGAAAATAGGAGTGCCCTAACTTACCTAACGCTGCTTGACGCATTGAGAGGAAATGGGTTGAATATATCAGGTGCGTGTTCAATTGAATAAAAGGTCAGAGGCACAATGCTTTCGTAGGAATTATGGGCGGAGACTCAAATAGAGAGAACGCTTGGCCACGAAATCTCAAATTCTAAGTCTCTCACTGCTGCAAGCATCGAATCTCATAACCCTTCCCCGCCGGGGAGGCCAGGCGGGTAACTGGTTCAAGGAGTGATTGCCCAGTGAGGACGACAAACATCCTGACGCTGGATCTCGCGGTTTCACCGGTGATACGCACGGAATCGGTCGTGTTGTGCATGTCGCGGCGTCCCGAACTTGACATGGAGAAACTCTCTGCCGATAGCCCGGGAAGCTCGGGGAGTTGTCTCCACTTTGCCGATGCAGGTATGGGTCCACTAGAGCTCCAACTGCCCACTGGAGAGCTCTATCCGGTTACGTCAGGACTCTCACCAACATCAACAGGTGAATCGTCTCTGGATGAGTGACCTGACCTAACCACGACCACGAACCCAACAATTGGCCTGTCACCGATTCAATTAGTTGCCTCTCTTTTTTCTCTCGCAACTTTGGCAAATAAGTGTCAGGTCAATTGAGACCTGGCAGTGAAGCCGATGATATGGCATTCCCCACCCCAAGCGACGACAATGGCTTTGGCCCAGACATCGTCGGCCCTCCCGACTATCAGATTCCCAACCCGCAGCTTACACTCCTACAGCGCCTTCTCTTTCGCAGTCCCGATCAATATTCCGCAAACATGAAAAAGATGCTGAGCGCCGCGGCTGCAGGCATGGGCCGCCATCCCACCCAGGATGAGGTTAATGTCCTCTGCCACATAGCTTACAAGGAAGCCGCAACAGCAGCCTGGACTATTCCCGTAACTATTGGATTGGCCGCTATCTTGACTTGGAATACCCGTGGCACCTATCGCTTCCCTTTCTACCAGCCCAAGTTCATCAAATTCAGTCCCGATGCTTTCCCGACTGCTTCTAGGCCGATTCTCCAGGGTCGTCTTGCGAACCGGACCTGGCACCACACGAGGTTTGCAGCCTACTTTGTGCTCTCTAGTCTCGGTATTGGTCCTTTTGTCGCCTCGTATGCCACGTCAGTGGCTGTCGCATCCGCCGCTCGTGACGAACGTCTAAGTCAGTTCCGCAAGGACATGAAGCCGGAGAGGCTGGTCCAGGTGGCCGCTGACAAAATGCCACCCGCTATCTTGACGCGCCAGCGCCAGCGGACTGCAGCCGCTGTCAGTCAACTCGAAAGGGAGTTGGCCAAATTTCCCTCGGAGGAGGAAGTAGCTCAAAAAGCTGGACCCGAAAACGCGGAGAAAGAGGTTGAGGGGCTTCGGCAAACAGTCTTGTTTGTCCAAGGCAAGATTGCCGAGTACCGAAGGATATTGGATCATATCGATGGAGTCCTCGAGAAGAGGGGCGAAGGCAGCGCTGGAGATGACGGGTCGGCGCAGAACAAGGACTACGAGACCCTTTCTGCGTCAAGCTCCACAGGAGGCTACACTTCACCTATGGAACCCAACTACGCTTCTCCGACAAGCTACTCAAGAGATCCGCCATCTTCCGAAGGCAGGCCAGGGTGGGGCTCGGGTCAGCAGAGCTCATCTGCCCAGCGAAGCAGCAGTAGCAGCCGCAGCGGGCCTTCAGACGACTTGGACTACGACGATGCATCGCCTCTTGCACCCGCCGCCCGGTCTGAGGCATCATCTGCCCCTAGCACTGGCTCAGCGTGGGACCGTTTGCGACAAGCCTCAAGACAGCCCCCGCGAACTTCCGGGAGTGCCACCCAGGGCCAACAGGGTGAAGCCAAGGGTGCGGATTACTATGCGTACGACGCCGCTGACAAGGAGAAGAACGCAGAGAAGGACAAGGCCCAGGCCGAGTTTGATGCGATGCTCGAGCGGGAAAGAAGGGGGAACGCGGGGCAGGGCAGTGAACGGAACAGCGGTTGGTGACATGTCCCACTACTCTCTACCCGGCGCCGAAGTTTTCGCTGTCAGGATTTTTGGAGTTGTTGTTGCCAAATCACATTATATACCTGTCTGAATATACTATCTTCTCACTGTACTTTGAACTACATCCGGTTTCTAAGGCCCGGACATACCAAAACTATGCGGGTATTCTTCTGGAGACTATGACTGCGTCCCTTTCGTAGAATTTTTACTTTTCCTTATGCCTCCGCGTGGTTCTTCGCTTCTGGTCTATTAGGAGCTCTGATCCCCCCCCTGTCAACTATGAACTCCCATGAATTCATTCAATCTTCTCCCTCTCATCCTCAAAACGTGAAATGAGTAGGCCGCCAGAAACTGGGATCCCATCGATGCCACGCCGCGGTCTTGGGCGGAGTCTTACTCCACCACTCTCGAAACTGCGGCGCGCCGACTTCGTCAGTGAAACGCTGCGTAAGCCGAGGCATAAACAGGCTCATCGACGTTCCGGGCGCCAACAGCGCGTCGCCCGTCTCCGCGAAGCTAAAGTGCGAAGCCCCCGCGCTCCAGCCCCTCTTCTCGGCGGCGGAGGCCACAGCCGGCGCAACCTCATCTTGCTCCGCGTAGCCGGGGACGGTGGTAGAGAACTCGGCCACGGCGCCCGCGAGCCCGACGTAAAAGGAGTCGGACACGTCCGAGGCCTTGGCCAGCGAGAAGACGCGATTCGTCGTCGAGCGGACGGCACCCCTGAAGGGCTGCACGTGGAAGCGGTAGTTGGGGCGGTAGTAGTCCCGCTGAGAGTACTCGTGCCAGATGCATTTCCGGCCGCGGGGGTGGTCGCACCCGACACCGCGCATGCTCAGTGGGCGGCTGCTAGTGCCCCGCTGAGGGTCCGGGAATGGCGTGCCGGACCAGCACGGCAGGGCGGCGGAGTGGTAGTAGGACTTGGCCCAGCGGAAGTCGAACACCTTGAGGGCCTCGAGCTCGTTGCTGCCCGCGACGAAGTGGTCTGAGCCGTAGGTCAGCAGCGAGGAGTGCGTCTCGAAGGGCTGGTACATGTCCCGGTAGAGGACGTCAAAGGGCGACGGGGTGCGGATGTCAAGGAGGCGGATAGTGCCGTCGTCCCAGGCGCTGAGGAGGAGGTTCGTGTGGCCCGAGGGACCTGGGTTGACCGGCTGGATCACGCGGGCGGTAAGCTTCTTGCCCGCATCTATGCCGCGGGAGACGAGGAGAGACGTGTGCTTGGAGGCGAGGTTTGGTGTGAAGCCCGCAGGGGTAACGGTGAGGTAGCGGATCGGGTCCGTGTCGTTGGAGAGCGCGCAGACGATGGTGTCGTTGTTGAGGGCCTTGGCTGAGTGGATGAATTGCTTCCTACCCCCTTGGCCGGGAACTTGGAATGTCTGCGAGTCTAGCGGGAGAGCGGCCCCGGTCTCGTCTGCGGCCAGGGAAAACAGACTAATGGTGGCGCGGTTGCCCGCGATCACCGATGTCTGGTTCGGCAGGGTATCAATGGACCCAATAGACGTCCACGTAGTAGCTTCGAGACCTCCAGTGGGCGTAGGGATCTTGAAAGTTGAAAGAGCCTTGCCAGCGCTGCCAGGCGCTGCTGAGACGAGCTGCAAATCACCGTTGGCCCTGCCGACGAGCATTCCCAACTTCCCGTTTGGCTCGGCCAGATGGATGGCGGTGACATCTCCCACGCCCGCTTCGTAACCTTTGGTCTTGCCCTCCATACGGAACCACGCATCGGACTCTCCGCGGCTGTTGTGTGGTCTGAACCTGCCGACGACATCCTCACCAGCGCCCCATGTTACAAGCTCCCAGCTGTTGTCAAAGACCAGGCGAGCGTCGATGACGGGATGGAAGGGACGGCCCGCGTTGGTGAAGCCCGTAAAGTAATTGCCATCCCGGCGACGGTTATCTGTGTAGGCTGTAGTCTGGAAGGCCTTCATGTCCCATGCGCGCGCCTGGCGCGTAAGGGTGTTTGCCAGCTCGCCCCATTTGGGAGACTTGCCTAGGGGTAGGGAATGCAGGGGAAAGCAGGTCCTGACGAAGGTGCGCCAGCCGTCCTCGTTGAGGAGGAAGTGCAGGTGCTTACACGACGATGAAAGGCGGGCTACATCGCGGGCGGTGCTGAGGTGAGAGACGATCTCCAAGACGACATCGTCTGGGAGCTGGTCAAACATTTTGTTCTTGGTTTAAGAGTCTGTTCTGAGGACTCTGCTTATTTGGTTTGATGGTTGGTTTATTGGTGACATGGAGAGTGAGGGGGTTGTTAATTGAGATATGATGAGAGACGATGGGTTATAGAGAGAGAAGGTGGATTGGAAGTGAGATACTGACGGGCGAGATGTGTATGTGATGGCTATGAAAGACGAGAAGGGGGGTGGAAAAGTCTTCTTAGTATTGTGGAATATTCTGTGAAGTAGCTTGTACGAGAAACCTTGTGCCAGATCATGTCTTGATGTATAGATATATCAAAAGTCTTTCACGTCCCAAATCCCGGGGGTGGCAACAACCAAAGCTATCACAAGAGCTGTACGAGGTCAGCATTGAAGCTGTCAGCCAGCCCACATACAAAGAGTCACAATGACCAGGCACCGTGTCTGGAGTCAGGCCCAGGTAGGATTGGTGGGTTTCTCTATGACACAGAGCACCCCGGTAGGTGCATACAAGGCAGCTACTCATAAGTTGGAGGCGTGCGCTTAAAGTACCTAGATCGCCAATCTGCCACACCCCGGCGCGTGGTCCGTGTTTTCGAGACACCAATGTACAGATGACCCCGCTGTTAGTGCAAGTCAATGGCAACTCAGAGCAACTCCAAGATAACGCCGGCGACAAGAGTGATAAGGTCTACGATAACGACTACTCTACTTCGTCTAGACATGCTAAGAGTCGGGGCATAGGGCGTACTTGTCACTCAAGGCGCAGTTACCAGATAGTTGCTTGAATGCTTCAAACTCAGTCTCACAAACCTCAACCTCTCGTCTCACTTAGCGAGCGACTCCAAATTCCCTACTTACATGGAAGATCTGAATCAGTAAGGGAATCGAGTCACCTTCAGATTTGGAACCTACTAGCGAGCTTCTTTTAGCAGTATGGGCTTCAACTTGGTACCCGTTGCCGTCGCTAGCGTTGCGGCATGGCTGGTCTACAAATTCGTTCTACATCCTCTCTTCATCTCTCCTCTGTCAAAGATCCCGGTCCCACATTGGTCATGTCACATCTCTCCCTTCTGGATCCTGTACATGCGAAAGTACAACCGCCAGAACCGCTCCCTACACGAAGCGCACCTCAAGCTCGGTTCGGTCGTGAGGATTGGTCCCAATGAGCTGAGCGTCGACGGCTACGATGCCCTCAAGACGGTGTACCAAGGAGGCTTCGAGAAGGACCAGTGGTACTCCATCTTTGACAATTACGGGTGAGTTCCCTATATTCGGGGGAAGCTTCCTCGCTAACATTTCCTCAGCGTCCCAAACATGTTCTCGACCCTCTCCTCAAAGCCTCACTCCCTCCGCAAACGCATGGTCTCAAACGCCTACGCCAAATCCTTCATCCACGCCTCTGAGCCCGCAAAAGCCCAGTCCCGCGCCATTCTTTTCGGCCGCCTCCTACCCCTGCTATCCGCTTCGTCATCCAGACACATTGGCAGCAGCCCCGGCATTGACGTCTTTTCCACCTTCCTCGCCTCCACCATGGACTTCATCACAGCCTACGCCTTTGGCCTCCGGAACAGCACAGACTTCCTGAGGCAAAAGGCCTACAGGGACCACTGGCTCCAGCTCTACCTCGCGCGCGCGAGCCACGGCTTCTGGCCGCAGGAGATGCCGCGCCTAACGGCGCTCTGCTCCCGGTTCGGGATGGGGTGGAAGCTGTACCCGTCGTGGGTGGACGATGCCAACGTTGAGATTTGGGCGTGGAATCAGCAGCTTTGCGAGAGGGCCCGGAAGAACGTTCATCAGCATCAGAATTGCAGTACCGTTGCAGACGAGGCAGAGAAAGACGTTGCGGACGAGCCCGTCGTGCTCCGCGCCATGGAGGCTGGTATCGAAAAAGAGCATCATGTGAATGGGAAGGAATCCATCCTCTATGAGACCACGATCCTCCAAAAGGAAGCATCTGTGGCCTCGGAGATACTAGACCAGGTCCTGGCAGGCCAAGAGACCGCGGGTGTAGCACTTACCTACCTCGCCTGGCACCTCTCCAAATCCCCCGATCTCCAACAGAAGCTCAGAGAAGAGCTCCTCAAGGTGTCGCCGGACCTTCGGATGCCAGCAGGCACAGCTCTGCCTCCATCCCTCCCCGACCCGAAACACGTCGATGCCCTCCCCACCCTCCACGCGGTGGTTATGGAGACCCTCCGGCTCCACGCCCCGATCCCCGGCCCGGAACCCCGCCGGACTCCACACCCGTCCTGCCGGCTCGGCGACTTTCAAGTACCGGGCGGCGTCCGCGTCGCGGCGTTGGGGTACACCCTCCACCGCAACGCAAAGGTGTTTCCGAACCCGGAGGTATGGGACCATACCCGCTGGCTAGAGTCGCAGACCAGCGAGGCGCAACGGAGGGAGATGTTAAGATACTTTTGGGCTTTCGGGAGCGGTGGGAGGATGTGCGTTGGGTCCAACTTTGCAATGAATGGTAAGCTCTTCCATTCCAAAGAAAAAAAATTGTTTGCTTTCCCCCCCCCCCTTTTTTTTTTGTTTTTCAAAAAAATTAAAAATTGCCTGCTGACTCTACAACCCCCCTCCCCTCCAGAGATGAAGCTCATAGCCGCGGCAATCTGGACGAATTTCACGACGCACGTTGTCGATGACGCGGGCATCGAGCAGGATGACACTTACACGGCACGGCCAATAGGTGAACGCTTAATTTTGCGATTTGAACATGTGTAGTAATGTTTCAATGGTAATCTAATCTGCTCGAATCGCAGGCGATTCAAGGAGCACTATTAAATGATGACTCGAGGGTCCATCTTACCCTTGGTGATCTTCACTGCCACTCGCATAATTGACGAGCCTCAGACCTATATCAGGTAGTCGAGCTTGTCTTCGGATTGAGCCTGAAGATCGACCCGAGCCGATTTCAACAATGAATCGTCAGATAACTAGGTGGTGGAATGATAATCGGACCTCAATGAGGCGTGAATGGGGGTTTTACGCATGAGAGGCATTTGAGGGAATTATGGAAGTGAGCCTTTGTGAATTATTGATTTTCAAAATCTAAGACCTCTAGTTCATACTCAGTTTGCGAATTAGTTAACAACCAGAGCCCCAGGCTCTGCACACAGCCGACGTATCTTACAGGAAGCATTTCCTCAAATACTACAACCTTGAATACTGCAATCAACGATTGCAGTTTTCATCATTAACATCACGCCTAAAAGTCTACTCACCTTTAGCAAACATGACGTTTTCCTGACTTGGGGATCTAAGAGGTGCACAAGGCAGTGCCTCATCCCACATGTCGGCCATGTTTACCTGAATCAAAGACTGCGCTGAGTCTTAAGTCGTTACCTTCATAAGCATCCGACAACATCACGCACCAGGCTATGTATGTAATCATCCACAAGCCGACGCGTAGGGCGAGGCTGTCCTTCCATCGGAAAGAGACAACAAACGCAGTATCAAATTGCTACCTATTCAACCAACGCTGCATAGCCATACGGCAAAGTTAGGGAACGTAAAAGTATAGTTGGATGACCCAAAAAACCATCGAACTGAAGAGGAAATTCTTTACGCGAACAGGATGCCGGTCTAGTGCTTTTTTTTCTGCATCATGCCACATACCAATCACTCACTCTCATGCCGGCCAGTCTGCAACATTTTATGCTGCCTCGCCTCCGGGTTGCTCGACCGCAGGCTCGCCGATAGTATTGGCGGCGAGGTTCTTGACGACCTCCTTGAGTGCCTCGGTGTCATCTGCAGCTTCCTCAGGCTTAGAAGCCTCGGCCGCAGCCACTTCGGCAGTCTCTGCGACAGGTTCCTTGGCAGTAAGCAGCTCAGGCGCCTTTGCCTCAGCCGAGACTTCGGGCTTAACTTCCTTTGTCTCTGCTGCTGTGCTGGCGACCTCCGGAACTGACTCCTTCGTGGGTTCCTCTTTTGAACCATCGTCGACTTCCAGAATACCACTGTCACCGATGCTCCAGCATATTCTGAGAGGAGAGAATGAGAGTGTAGGGCCGGACTTGGCCTCAGCAGCAGCGGGAGCTGGGCTCTTTGCCGCCGGAGCCCTACGCTGGGGGCCACGAGCACGACCTTTCCTGGCATCGGAGAGAGGTGCCTTCTCTTTCTCCTCGGCAATATCCGCCGCCGGGGATTCTTCCTTCTTCGGGGCAGTAGGACCCAATTGGAGACGCTTGTTAAGGTCAGACAGGAAACCAGCTTGGAGCGCCGCGATCTTGCCTCCGGCAGGTTTGCCAGGAATAGCTGGCTTCAGCTTAGGAGCGGAATCTTGGTCCTTTGAGTCGATGCCGGAAGGAGGGATTTTGGAAGGACGAGCTGGGATCAAAGGTTTTGACTTCTCCGAGACAGCTGGCTTGGTTTTGTCCTCGCTTGCTGAATTCTGTTTTCTCGGCCGATCAGGAACGGAAGGCCGCTCTGCAGTAGCGCTGGATTCTGAACCCTTCTTCTGCGGGCGGACTGGCACAAACGGCTTTTCCACTGGAGACTCTTCCTTCAGCTCCGGTGTGTCCACTGTAGCCTCGTACATGGCGCTTTCTGGTGTATCCTCCCAGACGTCGCGACTGGGAAATCGATTCGACATGGCTGGGCGGGCCTCTTGTTTGACCGTCTGGAGGGCGGCAGGCACTGGCTTCATCTGCTTTGCATCCACCCCACGACCTTCCTGCTCTGCGAGTTCTTCCTGTCTCCGGGCAAACTCTAAGGCCGGATTCTCAATGGGAAGGTCGGAACGGCGTCTGGAGGAAGGGCGTTCTGATTCTGTGGGCTCTGGGGTCGAAACTTCGGCAGTATAGTTGACGCTGTCGGGAGCGTCCTCCCATACGTCCTTGCTTGGGAACTTGTGACGAGGCTTCGAACCAGTTGCCTCGGCCTCAAGCTTCTTGGCCTCCGGGCGCTCCTCGTCGAAGAGTGGCTCATACTCTTCGACGTCCTCAAGTGGAGTGGAAACCAGATCGGTTTGTGACTGGTTGTTGTAAATGCTGGTGGGTCGACTAGTGGGACGGTTCGGTTTCTCCATCTCAAAGGCACTGCCGGAGCGTTCTGGTGGGGGCTCGACGGCGGGCTGAAGATCATAAGGATGGACGTCATTTTCGAGCTCATCTTCGGCCAAGATAGGTGCCTTGTACTTGTTCTCGTGTCCAGGATCGTGGGACACGAAGCTCCTGCGGCGATTGTGAGACTCGTCTACATGGATTGTGCCGTCATCGCTTCCGTTAGCATTGTCCGGAGAGGATACGGAAACTTGAGGATGGAAATCCTTCACGGGACTCTGAGGCGATTTGATGCGCTGAAGTTCAGGAGAGGAGATGCGAGAGGTGTACTCCGCCGAAGCCTGGTATCCAATCTCTTCACTGGGGGTACCGACATACGACGCAGAGGTTCCTGTTCGAATTAGCCAATGTCTCAATGTGTGTGGTTTTGTTTGCACGACTTACCCATGCCAGAGCCTCGGCTATGAGTCTCCTTGACGATCTTGTTCAGGTCTGTGCTGCTCATGGCGTAGTCGTTTTGACGGTCATGGAGAGAAGATTTGCAGTCCTTCCTCAGGAAATCGGGATGCTTATCGTACCAGGCCTTCTCGAACTTGTCGGTGGGCAAAGCTGAACTGTGGCCATGAAGACCATAGCTGCCAGGAGGAAGCTCATTGAAACCGCGCGAGCTATGCTTGCGGGAGTGGTTTCGGGGGGTTCCCGATCTGAGTCCCTCGGGTGCAGCAGAGCCTGGCGCAGGAGACGGAGCCTGGACGTCACCGAGGTTGGGGTTCATGGGAACACGTTGGCCAATCTCGGGAATGCCATGTTCCTCGTCGCCAAAGGCGCTTTCTGATTTTTGAGACATGGCGCTGGAGCTTGCCTTCTTTCTGAGACTGCTAGGCCTGGTGTCGTCGCTGCTAGGCTTGCCAATACCATAGGAGGCAGCCTTATCCGAGTCGGTACGGGTCACCGCCATAACTCTCTGTTTGGCACTCTGAGCCGGAACAGTTGGCTTAGGAGCGTGAAGCTTGAGATCTTCCGCAGCGAAGCGGGTGTGCTCTGGTGATGCAGGTGCCTTAGGAGGCGACTTGGCAAGTCCCTCGTTGATGGCATCGTATTCGTTGCCCTCCTCACCAACGGAGGGCATTGACACGCTACCGGGGCGGTGATGGATGGGATCATGCGAAGAGAGGAAACCATTACTCGGTGAAGAACGAGTAGCCTTGGGACTCTTGGAGAAGGGGCTCTCGTTCAATGGAGAGGGCGCATAGCGATCGGGGTTCGGGGAGACGGAGCGGTCGAAACGCTTGATGGGACGAGGAGGAATCTTGGGGAGAGACGAGGTGTTGGTATTCTCCTCCTTTTCCTGACTCCTAGAAGGTCGGGGAGGGATGACCGGTTGTTGTACTGATACGGTCGACATTTTGACTGTGTGATTGGCTCGAAGACGTAAAAAAAAAAATCAGAAGTAGAACGACTCGCGGTCGAGTTGAGGATGATTGGAGGCGCGGTTTGTGGTAGTTGGGGCCGGGGGAGATTTTGTTCTACACGCGACTAGAAGCACGCAAGGAAGCGATGGGGGAAACCTGGAAACCTCAGAAGTCTGCAGTTAGTACTTGGTTTCGAGGGGGTGTGTCAAAGCAAGGAGCAGAACGTGCTCCCATCCCCCTTGCTCGCGCCGTTGGTGTCTTGCGGCCCTGTTTTTTTTAGTGCGGGTGGCAGCTGAACGCGAGATAACAAGACTGGAGAGATTGGGATAAGGTGAATTTGGCAAGAAAGACAAGACAGGCAGGGGCGGTGAGGCGGCCAAGCACCGAATGGATGACGGGAAGAATGCGATTTGCTGGGAACAGCAGATTTGAGTTTTGACGCTCAATCTTGGTTGATAAGGTAAGTGGTTTCCGGTGATAAGACGGTGTCGTATCACGAGTAAGGTACACGAGGGAGGCTTGAACCACAGCAGGTAGCCTCCAGAGCTCCAATGCCGAAGATGCGCACACCGAAAGATGGTGATAGCTGAGCCCGCCCTGGCTGAAAAGTCAAAGTGGGCCTGCCCTGTCCTTCCCCAACACCTGCATCAGGCAGGGCGATGGTGGTGGTGGTGGTGGGCTGATAATGTACAGCAAAGCATTGGACGACCGCTTGGAGGAACAAGAGGGATGTGTAATGGGCGGAGCAGCAATAGTAAACCAAGCTCAGCACACCAGGGGGCGAGGAGGAAATCGGGTGGGAAACCAACAATGACGACTGCGGTCTGGAAGGGGAGAGCCACTTACAGCTGGAGGTGAGAGATAAGAGATAAGGTGAGGCGGTGGGAGCGAGACCTCGAGGAGCTATTGGTGATGCTGTTGTAGAATTGGTATTATTGCAACACTCGCGAGGTAAAGAGTAAGTGGATGGTGAGAGAGTCGATTTGTAGGCCGAGTAAACGCATTGAACAGATATGACGAGCGGTTCAAGGGGGGGCAGCAAGTAGCAAAAGTCACCTTGACCCTCGAGCTTTTATATTCTGGCTTGACGAAACCAGCTGGTTCGGTGACGGTCCTGTTGCCGTCTCTCAGCCAGTCACGAGCGACGTATTCCATGGCACAGAAGCAGGGATGCTCGATGCCGGTGCAGCGGGAAGCAGAAGAACAAGTACACGAGTACCTCGAGTACCTTGCCGTCGAGTTGACGTTGTGCCGGCGATGCGCTCTCTTGCGTTGAACGCTGCAGGTTTGAGGGCTTGTTGTCATACAGTAAGTCTCCCCACTTAATTCGCACGGTGCAGAATGATCTGTCTTGAGCGGATCCACAGTACCCCGCCATTTGCCCACTAATGCATCATACGGCATGCGCTGGAGACTGCTCGAGGAAGGCGCAACAGCGGAATAAAAGTCTTTTTCCCTACCTTCCCTTGATGTCGTGTACATTGACGAGTGTACGAATACTTACAGCACCTCTTTCCAACGTTGGGGGACGATGCCCTTCCTTTCCATGATACGAAAAGCAAGCTATTACGGACCAGGCAAAGCAATCTAGCGTCCTGGAAGCAGCTAGCTGATGCAAGGTAGTAAGGTAATTAGTGAGTTGTTCTTTTCTGTTGACTCGCTTTGTTTGTCGTCAATTTGAACCTGAGCCACCCAAATGAATCCTTCACTGTCAGACAGGGACAGCCTACTTCGCACCTATTTCAGGGCCAATGGGAAGAAAGTTGACCAGGAAACTCTCCATCATCCCGCCTCAATCGATCGATCGGAAGCAAGTGCCTTTCCTATCCACATTCACGTCTATTCCTACTGCCGCTGTAACTCTGGGAGAGTCGTCAGAGGCTCAACTGAGTGATGATCCTAGCATAGCGCCAACCAAGACGCTCCGGAGAACTGATTCAACAACACACAAATTCGCCGTCCGTCCACACACCCGCTTTCAGGGGTTCCGAGGCCCTCACTGGAAATAGCAGCAAAAGACGGGGAAATGGGAAAACACAAAAATAAGGGCACTGTGGATTTCCTCGGCCGTCACCTGTCAGCGCCTCGACCAGATCAAACGTGCTCTGCCTCCCATTTGTGTGCTCGCGTCAGCGTCGAAATCTAGAATCAGCAACGCGAAACCAATCCCGTCCCGGGTCACCTGCGCCCTGGGAATGTCCTGCTGGGACACGGGGGGTTCTTTCGTTCCATTCTTCCAACGGGGACAAACTTGGCGCTACGTCCAGGCACATCCGGCCACCCTGCAGCATTCTTCTTCATCTCGTTCTACCGAGTGCGGCCAGAGCCTACGAATACATCGACATCAACATTGCTTGCCCAAGCCATTCAGACGTCAGAGACAATCAAGACATGGCCAGCTTCCTCTCGACAAGTTGACCCTGGACTTGTCCAACAGCGGGCAGGGCAGCCGGTCCCAGATACCCACCGTGGCCCTCATTCATAGTGGACGGCAGCTCCACAGGGCGTCGTCTGGTCCCTGGTCGAGCCCGCCTGCGCCCCAATCGAAACTGTCCACTGAGAAAAGTTCGAAAAGTCACCCGCTGACCATGGCCACCGACCCCCTCCAGACGTCCAGCTTCAGGCGGGCCAGACCCGGGGCATGGGCGGTCCCGAGAGCAGGTACCTTCTCGATTTTGTCAAGTACCTTGCCAGGAACCGGATGCGTGAACCGGGAAACGAGGCCCAAAGAGATACTTGGACCTCAACCGACCATTGCGTCGTTGGCTACCATTCCAACAAGTCTACAGTGCGGCTCGACTCGTGCTGGAACGCCTTTGACTTCCTCCCGCCCCCGAATGTCCAGTGTCGTTGTCTCCCAAGACCAGCCCCACCGTCCAGACCACGAGATGCTACAAGCTCTGCATGGAAAGGGCACCGGCCTGCAGCTGGCCAGGCGACGGTGTCTCGTCCGTTTGGATCTCGATACAACATTTCCCACACAAACACATGCACAAGAGAGGGAGCCGTTTTAGACAACCCTGCCACTGGAACATCGTGATCACTCACAACCCTCTCCCAGTTTCTCTGCTCAGTCTGCAGCTCCTAAACTAGTTGACCCTGCACTGCACAACATGGGTATCCTCCGGAATACGTACTCGTCCTTCACCGCAACAACCAGAGACATGATCCAGTTAATTGAATTTTCCGGCTTCTCGGACTGTGACTGCGGGCGCTTGTATAGGATCATCGCCTGGACCTACACGGCACCGCCTCTCGGGCTTCTATCTCTGGCAACTCGGAAGCACCTAGACGGGCGCCGGAGCGCATGCGGGCTTAATCGAGGCATTTTTCTCGGTGCGGCATTCTCAAATTATCTAGGTTCTCGGGCCATAGTAACAAATGCCTCTCCTGTAAACGAACATTGAAGTCTGGCTTGTGTCGGAAGCTGTTCCCGACGGTCTTTGACGGCCGCTGTCACGGTCTTGGCTCCCTCCCACCGTTCGCGCACAGCCCAGACAGCCGGCTCTTTTTCAGACGGCTAGAACGATCTTTTTTCCGTCAGAATTACGGATGGCTTTGAACTGACGACATCCGAGTGGAGGTCGTTCAGTCACAGAGAATTGGGACCCAGCTTCCAGGCTCCGTTATCTCGCAATGCACTGTCGTTACTAATCGTCACTAGAGACGGAGGAGCCCCATTCTTCGACGATCGATCCACGAGTGTCCCTGAGAAATGGCTCCAGCAGCTGGGCTCTCTTCGGATGATGACAGTTGCTGGAACTCCCTGGCGAAAGGCGGAACCGGGAAACCGATCGTCTCAAAAACAAGCTCCAATTGTATCGAAATTTCCAGCAAGATGATTCCCGAGGTTCTGCAGAAAGGGAACGAAGTCTCCTCTGCCAGACTTTGCGACTGCCTCCCTATCCTTTATTCGTCTTGCAGGACCCTTGTGGGGAGGGAAACGAGGAACACACCGTCCCCGTCGATCAGGACCAGAAGCTCCATTCAGCTTGCTGCATGCTCGCTGTGCCGTCGCCTAGAGCTGGCCACAGCTTTCCAGCGACTCCGTCTTTCCACAGCGCTGAGGCTAATGACGCCATGGAGTGCCTCGCGCAGCCCTCTCCACAATAGGACCAGACTGACAGTTCGCAAGTCCAAGACGGTCATGGTCCATGAGTACAATTAAGATGAAATCCGGGCCCTCGATGTGTGACACAAACAGCAGAGAGAGTATCTTTGACTATTGTCTTTCATAGCTACCTACCCTCTACCCTCCCAGCTTTCTCTACTCCTTCTCCCAACGTCGTACGAATACTGGTGTTGATGTCTCCATGATTTATTTGCCCCCGCCCCCAAACAGAGGCTGAAGAGTAGTGTGGTGGGTATCCACCTAGCCAACCATTCATCATGTTAGACCCCTTCGCGGAAAGATGACGAGGCATACGTCAATACCTTGGGTTTCACAGGATTTCATGATCGCAAAGTATTTGGGGACTCACTTAACCCGGCTTGCGACAAGAACATGGTGGAGGGCGTCCTGCCTTCCCCCGCTCAATTTGGACGGTCTAGCCCGCTCATTGGGGTAAACTCAACCGGCGGTCCTTGGGCGACCACTTTCTGGAGGTCACACTTCACGATGTGCGTGATGTCGTTGCATGGTGTGGTGTGGGAATGGAGTTGACTAAGGTACTTAGTTCTAGGCCACGACCTGCTACCGGCTGGCTCCCCCGCCGCCATTAGTAGTACCCTAGGGTTTTTTGACACTCATTGTCCACTTAGCAGCTAGCTTTATTCGAGCTATGGCGACTTGCAAATGGTGGGAAGCTTGCGCAACACATCCTCTTGTGAGCTGGCAAGCTCCATATCGACCCTTTTCCGCCATACTCCGATCTGGAACGGCTCACACGCATGGACGCGGACGATTCGGTCGAGAGCAGTCGCGGCTCTGCTCAATGCGCACAAGAAACAGCAGGAATGCTCCGAAACAGAAAATCCAGTGCAATGAAGAAAGCTATCATAACATCCGGAGCTTCTAAGAACCGGAAGCGCAATCCGAAGTCGCACACACAAAGCCTGCGCTTGTCCCGAGACGCCTAGTTCCTTTCCGAATATGCCGGTCGTTGCATATCAAAACATAATCTCCGTGTTGCCCTCTGCAACCTCTCGCGACTCTTGCGCTTCACGCGCCGGATGGCCGCTCCTCATGGAGCCTCAATACTCGCAATTGTATACACTCCACATCCCTTACGTCGCCCATTTTTTCGTGCTTCCAGGCACTGGATATCATTGATGTTGCCTATGCTTGTTCAGCTGTCGTTACAGACGCCGGCGCTTTTTCGTTCGGCGCTGCTGACTTGAGCGCCTCGTCGCTCCGACATTCTAGCTGCTGGTTCTTCTCCTAGACAATCATCTGGGCAACGCCCTGGCCACCAAGGGTCTTGCTGCCGACAAAGGCCTGGCCCTTGACGGCGGCGAGAAGGTAGCAGATGGCCGTCAGCGATAGGAATACACCAGCGGCGATCAGACTACTGGTGACAATGATGGTGCTGAGGAACTGAATGACAGCCATGCCGGCGTAGGCTCCGGCGCGCATGTAGTTGGTCGAGATCTTGCGGATGAAGCCATCGAAAGTGGACGAAGTAGGGCAGATTCGGAGCAACAAGGGGACCTCAATGAAGAGGATAATCAGTGCGGAGGCCCTAGAGTAGACGTTACAACGGAGCTCCGGGAGAGAGCGGGGGGAGCGAAGGGAGTCTTACAAGGCGAGCGCGCAGAAGATGATAAGAAGGAGATGGACGGTGAAGATGTTGGCGATGCCCAGTGCTAAGCACAAGATCATCGACAGAACACCCAGCCTGCATTGATTCTCGAGTCAGCTATTATGCCTCCCAAAAGTGTATCACAGCAAGACGAGCTCGCGGAGAGACCGTCGCCGCAATCGCGGCAGCATTGCCACGGAGAGTCTTGATTTCGGACTGTTCGCACGGGTAGGCAGACGAGGGGATCCATCGCACGAGGGAGCGAAGGATAATAAGCTGAGCAGGGGAGTCATTACCATTGACCGTAAATGCCTGTGGTGACAAGTTAGCATCAACGTGAACAGTGCAGACGAAGGCGCCCGGCGCGCAATCGCAAGATGAAGGTGGCATACTGAAGTTTCTGGTCGCGAACTCCTCTTTGAGCGTCATTTTGGCGGTAATATGGTGTGGTTTGCGGTGGTAACGTCTTTTTTTCTTTTACGTTGGCGTACGTGGACTTTCTGAGCTCTAGTGGAGATGATCCGAATTCGAGCTCACGGAGATGGGATCGACACACGGAGCGAGGGAGATCGGATTGTGTAGGTAGTCAGTCGTTTGTTGAATTTACTGATTCCCAGGATTGATTGACTCTTGGGTGTAGACGTTGGCCGTTGGCCGTTTGGGGATGAGGGAGAAATCGAGAGCTTCCGGTTTGCCGTTCGCTTAGAGGTTGAAGGTGGAATGGTTGGTGTGGATTCTCCAACAGTGAGGTGAGTGTTGTTGTCAGCTTTCCGGGCCAAGAGAGGAAGCGTCGTACGTAGCCTCTTTTGCCGAATTTGAGGCTTGGACGGGCTGGAGGTGGCAGGTCCTGGGGCCGTTTGGACCAGTCAGGTTGGCTCCAGCTGCAGCGGGTGTGGGTGGGCTGGCTGGTGCTGCGGCTTCCTTGGACCTTGGGGGGTGAGATCTTTTTGGGGGGAGGAACTTGAAAGTCCAGGGGTCGCAGGCGCGCGGCGAGGAGAGGCAGGGTGTGTGGCTCTCCACCCGTACGTTTTGTTTCTTCTCTGCGGGAAAGGCCTCTAGTAGGCACTTTACGCAGAGATGCTCAACGCAGCTCGCCTGGAGTGAGGTCTTCGACTGTATTCGAAATCCCAACCTTCGGGGACAAGATAGGGACAGTTGATGTGATTGGATTCCCTTCCTAACTTGTTCTCCCTGTTGTTGAAGGTGAGCAGGGGCCTTTTCGCCTATCCTTTATCTCGACGCTGAATGCACGGTCAGATGAGATGTCTTCTTTTTTTGATGGCGCCGCCTGCCACTCTTGATAAGGTTCTCGTAAAGGCAACAAAACCAGACTGCGGACCCGTGTGTTGTTTGGTTGGCGGTCTCTCCTCCTAGTCCTGCCTGGGGGTTTTGAGAACTTAACCCAGTGCAGACTGAGGACGATCCCTTACTTCGTCCTGTATCTTCAACGGCTGTTCCCCCCTCTTGTCCCGTGCTCGGATTCTGTTCCTCTTCGACTTTCAAAGCCTTATTCCTCAGTTCTGATGCGCAGCAAGTAAGGTCCCTCGCCAGGCTATGACCCTGTGAGTGATGGTCACTGGTCGCTTCAGGGAGCAGGGGGAAAGGATGGGATCGAGTGTAAGAGGTTTATGAAACAACGTCCTGACACTTTCCGGGCCCGGTGGCCAGGAGACCTGAAATGCACGGCCGATCTACCGGTGCCACTAGGTACTCCAAGGGTGTCTGTGTGCTCCCGTACCTTACTTTAGGTGTGTGTACGGATACCGGTAGCACTCCGGTCTTGTTTTGTTCGGCTTGGGTTGGGGTGTTATTTTTGGGAATGGTGGGTTGATTATCACGATGGGTTGGATGGACCAACTTCTCGTTTCGACTTGTCGTGACGCTTTTCAATTCCGCTCAGAGTTCGAATTTTGCGGTTGAGGGTCTTTTTGTGATGGTTGATCGCAATATGAAGAAAGTTTCATAGAGAAATTGGGCGACTATGGATCAAAGTGTATTGAACATTGAGTAGCAATGTTTCTTGCGATTTATCTGACGCCGCCACCTCCGCCACCTCCCCTTTGGTGCGCTTTATACCTGGGCAAACTGTTCAGGCAGCTGTGTTTCTCTCGTTGGTCAAAAGCAGTGCCTTGCGAATACGATGAACACGGTACACGCGTCGCGGGGTGGCAGAGAGATGGGGCGGCGTGAGCATACGTGGACTCTGTCAAAGCCTCCCTCAGGCTCTGGCCGCGGCCCCGGCGGTTTACACAACGATTGCTTGCTTCTGGTTCGTTCGTTATTCAGATGCCTGAAATGGCTTGATTGTCAACTACGAAGAAGAAAACTCGCTTTGTCGATATTCGTATCCTCCGACAACATTGCACGTATGCACAGCAATAGGTCAGTAGGTAAGAAAGGAAGAAGAAGAAAAGCACAATACCGATACCTGATTCTCTATTTCTGCTGTTCATCACGCTTGCCCGAGACCCTCCAACTCCTTTATCACAGCATCCCGCCTCTTCCTGTTCTCCTCAGAGGTAAGCTCCCCGGTGTGGTGCCCGTACGTCCACCACACCCCGTCCTTCTCGCTCTTCCCCTCGTCGGCGCCGTCCAAGTCGCACATCTCGGACCACCCAATGTTGGAGATGTCGAGGTTGCACCAGTCCAGGTACGCCGACGCCCACGGCGTCCGGAACTTGTTGAACCTCTCCGGGTACGTCAGCGGGTCCGCGTCCCAGTCGATGGCCCGGTTGGACAGGATCACGGTCCGGTCCTCGACACCCTTGTCGTCCAGCACGAGGAAGAGGCTCATGTTGTTGGCCCCCTCGTGCCGGCCGTACACAGACTCCTCCTCCCGCCCCCTCTCGAGGATCTTGGCCTCGATGTCCTCGATCGGGGAGCCTTCCCACTCGTTTAGGGGCAGTTCTTGCAACGGCGGCTTTGTGGATTCTGCGTCCAGCGGTAGAGGATCTGTCTTTGACGTGACGAGGGAGAAGCAGTCCCAGGCCGCGTCGTCGCCAAACTCCCAGTCCCGGATGGTGAGGAGGAAGCGATTGACGAGTTTGACGTCGGCCTTTTTAGCCGTGATGAAGACAAAGGAGCACGACGACATCTTCGCTGTGTTCTTACAGATGGAATTTTGGACCTGGTTTTATTTCTGTCAGAGTTTTTGCGATCTTAGATACGTGTTCTTATCCGTAACTATATATCTGACATTCCTGCCCGCTTGGGTACAATCCTCTGACATCACACTGAGAGCTAAGCAGGCAGAAATCAGGCAGCCAGCCAGCCAGCCAGCCATTGAGAGAAACCCGGGAATTCGTGCCCTTTGCCGATCTCCTCAGGTGCCAGAGGCCGTGTCCGTCACAACTTGCCGCTAGAGGTACAAAGCGCAGCCCTGACGTCTCCGGCTTGATCATGCACATTCGGTGTCGACAAGGTGCCCATCGGATCCGGGGCCGGCGATACCTACCCTGCTACTCGAGGCCGAAATCCCGCCGTGTTGCAACCCCGGATCCCGGCCCAGTCAACCGCCAAGCCCGCTTCGCTTTCGGCTGGCACGCGCAATTCGAGAGCCCGTCCCTCGTAAAATCTGCCGCCAAGGTTCTTCGCTTTTACCACAGTTGGCAACACGAGGAGGTTACGAGAGCAAGCAACACGGGGTGACATGTGCCCTCGGCGGCGCACATGTGGAGAGTCCGTCAGCACCAGCTAGTCGAACGCAGATCCAGTATCGACAATTACATCATACCACAGAATTCGCATGCCGCGGGGCACCAACGGCGCAGCTTTCTTAGATTCTTGGCGCGGATGAGCCGGTACAACAGTTTACGGGAATCCAACCCGCGTGCTGAGTACTTCGAAGCCCCCGGATTTTTGCCTTTTACTTCCCGATATAAGGACGGCGTTAGCTCCCCGTAAGCCCGAGTCAGCATAAGTGTGGACAAATAAAGAACCCCGCTTCAGCATCAAATTATCTCCCACTGGTGACATCTCATCGCAGTTGATGGGGGCCCATTGGTAAAGCCGCTCACGACAAGCACTCCAAAAAGCATAGTCAGAAAGACCTTTCACATCCACCTCATAGCACGCCATGGTCTTGACTGTTCTCACAGACGACCAGATCAAGACGATCCTGGCCGATCTGACGGCCGATGAGTTCGATGGGTTCAGAAAGGTGATCTCAACGGCGCTTCACGAGTACTCGACCAACACGCACAACATTGAGGATGGTACATATCACCAACCGGAGCGCGTCTCAACAGAGAATCTCAAGACGGGCGCAACGACCTTGTACATGCCCTCAGTCGGCCCTCAAGGCATGGGTTGCAAAGGTGACTCTCACATCCTCTCATCATCTCCCCGAACTTCAATATTGACACCTCGTGTAGTCGTGACACTCAGCTCCAGCAAAGCAGCCCAAGACCCCTTAAGACCATCCATACAACCCACTGGCGCCGTGACCCTCCTCTCACCCGACGGCCAGCCCGTCGGCTTCCTCCACGCAAAGACTCTCACGGCCTTCCGCACCGCCCTCTCCTCCACATGCCTCCTCGCCCGCCGCAGCCAGGTGAAAACGATTACCGTCTTCGGCACCGGCCTCCAAGCCTACTGGCACGTCCGCCTGGCCCTCCTCGTCCGCGGCGCGACCATCAAGCAGGTCAACGTCATCAACCGCCGCTTCTCAGACGGAGCCCGCGGCTTCATGAAGCAGTTCTACGGCGTCCCCGCGCACATCAAGGAGCGCGAAGGCTGGGCCGAGACGACTTTTAGCATTTTGACGCCCGGGTACGGCGAGTTCAAGAGGCTGCAGCGCGAGCAGATTCGTGACGCGGACGTGGTGTACTGCTGCACGCCCTCGACGGAGGAGCTGTTCGAGGCCGAGGTGCTGACGAGCCACGAGGGGAGGAGGAAGGGACGGCTGATCGCGGCGATTGGGAGCTACAGGCCCGAGATGAGGGAGCTGCCGGAGGGTCTGCTACTGCAGGCGACGAAGCACGAGAAGCCGCACTGGCACTTTCACAAGCACGCGCCCGAGGGCGGGGTGATTGTTGTCGACACGCTAGACGGGGCGTTGAAGGAGGCTGGGGAGATTATCGCGGCCGGTCTGCAACCTACGCAGCTTGTCGAGTGAGTGCCTACCGCTGAGAGAAGGGAGAAGGCTGGTCACATTTTGAGATTTTGGATGGAAAGCTGATTTGCGTTTTAGACTCGGAGAGCTGATTATGCTACGGCGGATGCACGAAGAAGAGGGAGCGGCCTCAGCCGACGACGACACGGCGAGCATCGCGGCCTCGGAGCTGGAGAAGCTCGACTTTTCGGGATCGCCCTCCATCAAGTCTGCATTCTCCGGGTCCGACGGCGCGTCCGTGTCAGAGTCTCGATCGTCCATCAGCAAAGACTCGTCAACGACAGGCAGCAGCAGCAGCAGCAAGGGACCGAGCATGTTGCGCCGGAGCTCGAGCCAGCGGTCGTCTGACAAGCGCAAGAAGGAAGACGCCTTGGTGAGATGGCTAAAGGACGGGACGGTGATTTACAAGAGCGTCGGGCTGGGGCTCATGGACTTGTCAGTTGGTATGCACATGATCCAGCTTGCGAAGGAGAAGGGTATCGGGACGCTGATCGAGGGCTTTTAAGGGGAGGGGAAGGGGGGTGCTTTTATAGACGGGGGCAAAACAGGATTATACGGCGATCTGGGAAAAAGAGGGTTTCTCTTTGTTTTAATGATATCCTTTAGACCACGAAAAACAGGTTACAACAGGTGCCTGGGACATCGACGCGAGCTGGACAGCTTGCCTATTGTTAGCCATCATCAACCAATATGATGTAATTCCCAGGTGATAACCTCCGAAAAGATAGAAGAAGAACAAGGAGGCCGGAAAAGTCGTCCCTCTTGATAGTATATTAAAGTGCGTCAGACGACAACTTCATCAAGATTCAGGTTGATCTACAAATGTTAAATGCGTACCAAGGTGCTCCTAAAAGTGTATCAAACACGAATTTAAAACCGACCCGGTATTATTCTAGAGAGGTCTAATTCAGAGAAATCAACGAGTTGCACAGCCTTATTTCGTGGTTTTGTATCAATAGCTCCTTTATCTTCAAAAAAGTCTGATTTCCTCTCATCCTTGAACTTGTCCTAGGGGGCAAAGCCAGCTCTACCCGAGTGCAGACGTTGTTGTACCCGCCCGGCCAACTATATATAAGGCATCATAGTTATGCCTGTACTTATTCAGTTCCATCTCTAGTCCGTGACGAACACGCGAAGCACCGGAACCCACACGATCATGGAGTTGTTGGAGATTATTGGGTTTCGGCCGTTGGCAGCGGATGCGAGGATCTTGAAGAATATCTCGGCAGTCACTGACTCAACGCGCGATGAGCTTTGAAATGTCGCGCAGGTGAGTCTCGTTGCTACCTGTAGACTTGAGTAAAAAGCTGTAGCCGCACGTCATCTTCATGAATAGCCTCTGCCATAGTTCCCCATGCAATGAACCACCGGCAGAAACAAACAGTGAGGGCGAGATTTTCGATAGGCTTGAAATATAGGACACAACCGATTCACCAAATATAGCCTAGGAGTGCAACACATTGTTGAAGTTGCTAACCAGCGCTCCGATTACCTGTCCCGAACGATAGAATTCATTGCGACCAAACAAACCATGTGTATTCTGTAGTTGGTTTAGCAACATTGCCATGGTAACCATTACTTCTGAGCCTTCCACATGAGCATACAGCTGAAGGTACAAAAGTCTAGATGTAATACTGCATTGATTCGCAACTCCGCTACCTACACCATGACAAAAATTCAATTCCAAAGACGCCCTGTCCCAAAGTCTTTACATGCGTAATTGTCCTACAGGTACTGGTTTCCAAAACGCCCTTTCCCATATCCGTGTTCAACACTGAAGGTCCCTCTCTCTGTCTTCCACGCAAGGCGGTCGCCAAGCACATACGCGTCCCATAACCAATAGACGATTCCTCATGCAACCCATCCTCAACTCCAGTAAAATGCGTGAGAGATATCATTATCTCCTTCACTCGCCTCGACAAGAAAGTCTATGCCCGCTTCAGCAAAAAACGCCGCCCGGGTGGGGTTTTCCTCTAAGTGTCCAAATACGCCACGATGCAGTGTAGACGGGCAAACAATCAAGAAGGAGATGATGAAACCGGGACCCAAATGATTCCAATCCCAGAATTCATCACTCATGCTGTACGGCCATACGTCCGCTCCTCAATGAGCCGTCGACTGTTCCCAACGCTCCCGTACAGCATCTCCATCAACTTGCCCTTCTGCCGCGTCCGCACACCCTCGAGGTATCCCCCGACGTCCTCCAGCCCGCGGATCTGGTCCTCAAGCGTCAGGGTGCTCGAGTTCACAGACCTGACAAGCGGGCTGACGAGCTTGCGTCGCAGGTTCTCGAGATTGGCCTTGAGGGCCATGAGCTTGCCGTTATGCTCGACCAGTATGCTCTTATTGCGCACCGTCTTCTCCCTCACGTTCTGCAACAGCAGACGGTTGCGCTCGTACTTGGCCACCTCTGCGGCGTTTGCGCCCAGGATGCGCGTCCAGAGTGACGACAACGAGTCGGCGTGCAGATCATCCTGCGCGGATGCCTCGCGGACGACGGTGCGCGCGAGATTGAGGAACTGGTGGTCGATGGCCTCGAAGAGAGCAAATAAGGCAAGGGAATGCTGTAATTCCGAGTTGATGGCGTCCTCGAGCACGGTGAGGAACTCATTGAATGTGCGCTGGAGGGTGAGGCGCGTGCGCTGCGGGTTGGACATGCCAAATATATATCTCGACAGAGAGCCAAGGCGCGTTGGGGTACCGAAGCCGTCTTCAAGAACGCCGGCTTCGGAGAGGAGATTGTGGATATTGTCGAAGGCGGCAGTGAAAGGAGATGAAGGAAGGTGTTGGACTTGAGAAAGTTCTCTGCGCGCCCAGTCCATGACAATGAGAATGCTATAGCCGGTGTCAGAGTGAGATGCTTCATGAGTAAGATCGCCTGCAGTGAGGCTTACCCATCAATATCGCCGTCGACGTTCGCAAAGAACTTTGTCAGCTCAACAGCTAGAGTCTTCAAGCTCTCACTGAGATCATCCAGCTCCTTGACAATGATCGGCGCCGAAGTCATATTGCTAGAGCGCACACTCTCGCCGAGATCCCACACAGCAACCCCAGTCGCTTGCAAATCGCCGACCTGGGATGCGCCATTCTCGGAAAAGTAAATGAGCGGTTCGAAAGACCGCGCGATGCCCGCGACTTTGACGAGGTCGGGCACCGGCTGTTGCGTAGCGGGTTGGAAGAGGTTGCGCGTTGCAGTTACGGCGAGCACGGCGACGAGGATGGATAGGATCATGGACGACCACGAGTGAGTCAAAAAGCGCCACTTTGAGCGGAAGAATTGTACGAGGGCTTCGATGGGTTCCGTGCGCTGCTGTACTTCTGCGCGCAATGCGAATCTAATATCTATCGGCGAGGTCAGCCTGATGATACCCTCCGACAGCAGTCGCATACACACGAGGAGAAGGGTTGGGTTTCAGATACGAGGCCATACAATTGTCTTGATTCAAAGTTCCCTCGGAAGGGCTCGTCTCCTTCCACGGAATATCCTCCAACTTGATCGTCCTATCCTCCATCTTGGGCTCGGGACTCGGCGACCGGGCCTTATCGGGACTCATGCTCCCCGTCGGCAACCTCGTGCGCATAGCCCTGCGCAATACCGACTCGCTCTCGTCGCCGTCGCTATCGTACTCGGGGCTAGACTCCCTCGACTTGAAGCCGCCAAAGCCTTGGTGGTGTCCGTGGTGCTGCGGGGAGAAGGCGCCGAGCAGGTCATCACTCCGCCGCCAGAAGCCGCTGTCGCGACTCCCGTTTCCGAGGCGGCGCCAGGCCGGAGGACTGTAGCCACCGGCGGAGACTGAGTTTTCGGGATCCGGGCCCAGGTCGCTCTCCGCGTCGTCTGACCGGAAGCTCGAATGATGCGACGGGTGACCGAACAAGTTCACGCCCTGCGGACCCCTCCTCCCGGGTGGCGGGGTCGTCGGCTCGAAGTCGCCCAAGGATGCGTCTAAATGATCGAGAGGATCGAACGTCGTCGAATGTTTCGTAGCCATCATCATACTGTTGCTGGTAGTGTTGGGAGGAGTGGCGGTTGCCGCGACGGACGAGTGCGCCGCTGGCCTCGGCGGCGGGTGGTGCGGGTAGGGCCTTGTAAGTGGGTGGTGGTGGGAGAGGAGGCGGCTCGAGTGCGGCCTCTGCGGTCTTGGTGGTTCGACTTGTGCGCTTAAAGTAGCTGGTGTTGGGTAGCAGTGTCGGCTTCCACGAGATCTGGACGATGTACAGGTAGACGAAGACGAAGGACAAGGTCAGGGTTGCGACATATATGCTGGGAGCGATAGTGATGCTCAGCAGGGAAACGTTATTGTTGACGGTGACCAGCGACGGCATGGAAAGCATGAGGGTCAGAGTAAGTTGGGCGCGCACCCTTCAACGCGGTCGTCTCGGTGTTGCGACAGAAAACAGCTTCTTCTGCAGGTCGACGGCTAGTACGGAGCAGAAAAGTACCTTGTTGGTTCACTTGACGTGTAAGTTGCGGGAGTGCGATGCGGGAGGTGGGAAAGTGGGATGTATGAGGCAAAGAGGCGAGAGCAAGCCAGTAGAAGTGCCCCGGATTGATGTAACCGATCAGGGCAAGTGAGTATTGGCCAGCCCGATATGAAACTGACTTGATCGGGAATGAAATGCGCGGGTGCGATAAGAGTAGGGTAAGAGGATGGAAAAAGGTTGAATTTGAGTATGGTTCTAAGGTAAGGTAACGGCGACAGACCATGCGCCCTCCTAGGATCGCTGTCTCTACCTCTCTCTCTTTCGCTCCTCTCGGAGAGGAGACAGGACAGGATGGGACAGGATAGGACAGGATGGAGTTGGAGTGGGCAGAGAGAGGCAGCAGGTGACCTGATTGAGAGTGGCCGCGGGTTTGTGGGAAGGTAAGGAAAAGCGGGAGATTTGCAGCAAGCAGATGTGAAGCAGCATCCTATTCCTTGGGGGGGAAAGGGGAGGGGAGGGGATGGGGTGTCTCCCGTCCTCTCCTAGTCCTTTCTAATGCAGCACCTGGATCCCCAATGCCCACCCGAACCACCGAGTCGAAATCGAGAGGTTGGGTAGCTCCCGTCTCCACTTGCCAGGTTCGAGGCCGCCGCCCAATCATCGCCCGAGCCTGTCAAGGGAGCGGCTGGACCACAGGCCCTGGATTGGGTGGGAGGGACTACCTTAGAGAGGGACCCCTACACCGAACAATGGCGACACTAAGGTACCTCTATAACCTGCGCGAGTACGTGCCCTGGCTCTCCCGTGCACTCGCAGTTTGTCGTCTTTCCTCCTACCTTAACTTACTAAGGTAAGGTACCTACCTACACTAGGACCACTGATCGCTAGTTGATGAGCAATTGGACACTCGCCTCAACTTCTCTCCCTACGGATACGGATACATCATCCCTCTCTTCATCTCCCTTTCCATCAAACCCCCCTGTCTCTTGATACCCGTGCGCCCCAGCCCACCCGCGTCGTTCGTGTTTTAGGAAACAAGCGTGTCTGCCCCTCGGACGTTTAAGTGGTTGCATCCTTAGTCACGGGACCGATGTCGAGGACGAGAAGTGAAGGCGGGGATTCCCTTTTTGCCCTCTTCTTCCACTTTTGAACGTAAACAAACAAAACCCCAGACTATCTCTCCAAAAACTTGCGCGATCCAATCAAATGACTCACCGACATGGCCTCGGGAGCATCCGATTCGACGACAACGCCAACGAGACGCGAGTAGTGTGGGCAAGGGAACCCAAGACTCGCCCCAGGTGAGCACGAAGACACGCACAATACATCACCATAGAGCCCAAACCCCTACCCAGAGCGCAGCTAACACTGTATCTCTGCGCTTTATCATGACAATCTCAAACACACCCTCCTCGACCCCCAGGCCCAGAGCACAATTGCGTACGTACCATTGACTGGGGTACCTTGCATGGGACTGGCTCGTTTGGACAGAGACCCAGAAAAGTGTGACTGAGCTGGCCCCAATCAACCACACCCACTAAGGTATCTTATCACCCCGCACCAATGCCCCACTCTCTGAATCCCGTTACCGAATCAACCGTCGCCGGGCGGGGGCCCCTACGGACGACAAGTCCATTTCCTCGAGTGACTCCTTCAGGGCCATGACGAGCGTCCGTTTACCCTTGATGGATCAGCGTACTTCATCTGCTCGCTTTCTTGCAGTTATGCAGTGGATGCCCGTGCACAAGCACGTCGGGCTACATGTCGCCGGGGTTGTCACTGTTGAGCGCCAGCAAGTTATTGACGCTCTCTGAACCCACCTTCTTATAGGACTCAACCATGTGCGATGGACTCGGAGTGATGGAATGGAGTAAAGATTAAACCAGTGGGTTGTCGAGTCTTCTACTGGACCGCTTTTTGTGACATGATCAGTCACCAAATGCCCGAGGGAAATAATAATCAAGAAAGACGCCTCGCGTGGTTCGTATCTAGCCTGAACCACCTTGCTCTCTTCATCTCATCCCCAAATGGAAAGCCTTCTCCCACGAATGCCCTGGGATACATGCCTCGGGCCTATCCTCAGAATTATAGCCTGGTATGAACATAATGAAAAGGGAATTGTTTTGTCAATCAAGCGCTCTTTCGCCGACCCGACTGCTCCGCCTGCTCTCCCTCTCCCTCCCCCTCCTCGGCCCATGACGCTCGCCTCGTATTGAAGCGATCCCACAACCCTGACAGCCTACGCCTCGGCGCGGGGTCCTTCTAGTCTATCTTTGCGTTGGCCAGGCTCTTGGTTCCCGGATTATTCAAGTCATTGATCTGCTTGAGGGGACCTCTCTTGTACTTGCCCTTGTTGCGAAGGCGCTTCCGCGCTACCATGACAGGCACCGAACTCTTAGTGACGAGATAATTGGAGAAGGAGCCAAGAATCACACTATTGAATGGTTAGCAGACCTAAAACAGGGGAGGTGAATGGAGTTGACAACTAACCCCTTCAGAGCGCTACGGCCTCGGCTGCCTAGAATCACCAACGTAGGGCTGACAATGTCAATCACCTCAGTAATGAGATGCTTTGGATTCTTGCAGTGAATAACCTCAATGATCACTCGCACTTGCAGTCGAGTCCTTCGCAACAGCCGCTCCACTCTCTCCTGGATGTCATTCACCGCACGACGACGCTCTTCCTCAGCACGACCGCGCTCCCTACTAGATGGCGCCGGCGAAGAAGAGTCGCTGTTGTTCAAGGCCGAGGCTCGCGGAAGGTGAGGGAAAGGCGGGGCGCTTGTCATGCCTGGTGGCGGCGACTTGGCGCTTGACATGGCGTTGATGGCGGCTGCTTGTTCTTGGTGCGCGGCACGCTCGTCGGGGACCATTATTCCTTCGGTCGAGTAAATACCAGTCTCTTCATCGACACAGTAGATACAAATGAGAGTATCGCCGTCTCGCAAAACGGTGCCGATAGTCCATTCCAGGGCGTGCGTCGACTCCTCGCTGAGATCGGTGGCTACCAGGTACTTTCTCAATCTATGATGCTCCTCTTCGGCCGACTTCTGAATTTGATCAAACTCGCCGCGCATGATAATGCGTAGAGTTCGTGAAAACTCTGGGTTGTTGAGGGTTTCCGTCCTTGAGAAGGCCAGTCTCTGTGCGCGCTTGATGTCGTTGAGTTCCTCCTCATCGTCCGAGTTGACAGCTGAAGCCATTCCCGACCCCGGTTCGTTGTCGAACGCCGTGGTCGGACGGATGCCTGCTTTGGATTTCAACTTCTCGCCGCCTGGTTTGGTGAGTGTGATGGAGGGCTCGTCTAACAATGATTTGTATTTGTATTGAGGTTGCTTGGAACTGACTGCCAGACCTGTAGCTCATTAGCATCTGAAGCCACCCTCGCTCGGCAAGAGTTACTTACGCTCTTCCTCAGCCGCGGCAAGCAGACTGAGTGTCTTGCGATCACCCTTGTCGGCTTGTTTGGGAGACTTGGCAATGCCCTCTTCATCCCGAGGTGACATTTTGCGTCCTCTCTGGTTCTCTTCATCAGAGGAACTATGTGCGTCATCGTCGCTGCTGTCTTCGAGCTCCTCTCCATCAGGGCTGAGGTAGTCTTTCGTAAGGCGGCCAAGACCGGCATCGTCCACGGTTGACTTCTTGCGTCCAGCCAGCCCTGAGAGGCCTCCGCCTGAAAATGCCAAATTCGCATCGGACAGCTTGCGGTAGGCGGTTGAGATGTCGACCACACGACCGTCATCGAGGATGGCGGTTCCAGGAATCTGCTGAAGCCGACCGCTCACATTAGGTGACCGAGAGCGCATACTCAGTCTGCCATGCGGAGACTTGGATTTGCTGCCCTGACCTCTACTGGAGCTTCTACCACCCATGACGGGGTTGCTAGCAATGGAGCCGTGGCGAGCCCTGTCGCCGGGGAGGACGATGCCCGGAATTTCGTTACCGCGCATAACGTCTGCCATGGCGCCGCCGCTCGTCTTCTTTGCGCCCAGCGCCTTTCCCTGGGTGTTGCGCTTCGGCATAGCAGTCCCGATGTTGTTAGTAGAAATATCAGAAAATTGGTAGTCCGCAGTCGGATCCATCCGATTGATTGGGGCGCGCGGGCCAAAGCTGGGCTTTTGGGAATGCGAATCGGAAAACGTCCTTGGGTGAGGCGCGCGAGATTCGACTGGAGAGCTAGGGCCCGCACTGGCAGCTTGTTTGGGAGCCGATGTGTTGATATCGAGCATGCTCCTGGCGGGAGGCGGAGGACCACTAATGTCCAGCATGCTGCGCACTGGCACGGCGTTTCCAAGACGTGGACTTTTTGAACCTCCATCGGCTCCGATATCCAACATGCTTCTCACGGGCGAGCGAGGCGAGGTATAGGGCGAAGGCGAACGTGCAGAGACGGGCGAACCCGTGTTCCAGTTGGATCTAGCGGCGGTACCCTCGAGCAAGGCCAGAACATCTCTTCTCTCCTCGTCGAGCATGGCCTCCATGCTCATGGGCTGGTGCGACATATTGAATGAACTTGGGAGTTTAACTGCGCTGTTGGCGGGGAGGGAGGCTCGTTTAGGACTTTGCGGGCGTCGCCTTTGCGGTCGAAGAGCGGGGATAACTCGTTCGCGTGATGTTGCTGATGTTATCGTTGATGTAAAATCGAAAACGGGGGGCGTCTGGTTCGGGTTGGATGTACGTGGTTGTGGTTAATCTAACGGGGGATGATCTTGCGATGTTGACGTTGGCGGTGCAAGTTGGACGGCAGAAACAGCATTGTGTAGGGGCAGTAGAGTTATGGAGGTCGGTGGAGGCTCCTTAGATCATGGCTCCGTAATGAACAGATCAAAGGTGAGCAAGGTGCGCTGTGGGTTGGAGGCCTAAATTAGCTTGTGAAGCACGAGTCGAACTGCCAAGACCGGAGGAAGGAGAAATAGCAAGTTACTGTGGTATGGGAGAAGAAGAAAAGGGTAAAGGGTAAAAGGGTGCGGTAGGTAGGTGAGGGAAACAACAAGGAGTTGAAGGAAGGGTAAGGTAGCGCACGGCACACGATTGGTAGCAGTGGTGGTGGATGGAGCCAAAAGGTCAGAGTATAAGGTAAGGTCTCCGTAGGGTGTAAGGTAAGGTAGTTCCCTAGTCCCTTTTCTACCTACCTTGCCGTGCTACCTTTGCCAAGGTGCCTTAGTCCCAGTCCAATCCAAGTTCCCCGGTGGCAGTGGCCGTGGCAGTGGCAGCGGCAGGGCAAGCGTGGATTGGGAACGAAGGACGGGGTGGGGGAGCAAAGAAAAAGAAGTGGGGATTGGGTTTTGCGGGTGGCAGGCAGGCCGCAGACTACCTAAGATGGACGTGGAAATGGGACGGTGGAGGCGAGAGGAGGGGAAACGTGGATAACGTGGATAACGTGGATGGGAAGGGTTCGAGGAGGGGTAAGGAAGTTAAGGTAGGTAGGTGCTCCGTTTTTAGCGTCGGCGTCCTTGACGACGCCCTCCTCGTTTTCCCTTTGTGACCTTGGCTGGGCCCCTGACTGTGGGAGCTCAGCTACCTTACTGGCCTGCGGCAAAGTCACTCTGGGCATCGGCATGCATGGCAAATGCAGTCATCTGATCCTGCTCGTCGTTTCTCTTTTGTCCACTTCCCTCTCGATCCCTCTGATTGACATCTGATCCGGTCAATTGGAAGTGCAGAGACTCGCGGACAAGCAACTCGGGGCTACGCTTGGAAGAAGATTTGCAATGGAGCCATGGGTACCTTATAGCCCAGCCCGGCCCAATTGGTCCGTATGGCCCTTGCTCACTCTCTCCCAAACTCATTTCCCCAGAGGCTGAAGAAGATCACCATCCATGCGGAGCAGAGAGGACTGCTTCTCACATGCTCAGCGTCTCTGTATCCATCTGGGTGCCGTGAGTGCTTTGTCATCGTCTGTCTTGGTACGACTGGTACCTGCCCACTCAGGAAACCCGGTGAGGTAACCCATCAATCACATCACACTTGTAGATGTCTACATCGTGCCTTGTGCCCAGTGATTCTCGTCACTCGTCCGAGAGCCATTGGGCTTCTGGCTGCCCCCGAAACTCAATCGAAAGGTGGGATGTTATCTCCCCCTGTTGTCGCCCAAGCTCCCTCCCGGACGTTGTCTGCTGATTGATGCACGACACTCATATGCAAACCATCCAAAGAGGGCAGGCTCTGTGCCCTACTCCATGACTGACCACTCGGCTGTCTCAGAGAGATGAATGTACCTACCCGACGATCCATGTGCTCTAAAACCAAAATGAGGAAAAAAAGAATGGGGAAACAGCTGACGAGATCCGAGAAACACTTACGTATATCTTGATGTTCGAGCGAGATCGACAGGGCTGGTTTCATAAGTTTGTCAAATGGCACAGGTTTATCGTATGGTATGAATCGAAGAAGAGACAGTGTTAGAGAGAAAGTTGGTTGATTTGGCGAGACCGAGAAACACTCTATGACTGTTCTGAGAAGAAAAAATTACGTGTATGTCGACTCAAAGATTTTACTCGCTGTACACTCGTTTGTGTAGCGGTAATGTCGAACGACGGAGGAAAATTGAGAATATGAAAGTGAATGACGCATTCTCTGCTTGTCCACACTGCATTTATTTGTTTTGGGGGTTTCGACACATACACAACCGTTCTAGCCTTCACTTTCTCTCTTCTAGGAAATCCTGTTACCAACTCTTATGACCCGCGGCCTCCGCCTTCGTCCCGTCCTGCGCCTCGTAACCCGTGTCATACCCTTAGTCTGCCGGGCGGACGCACTTACACGCTCGCCGCACAGTGACCCCGACAGTGCGATAATGACGACGCCGGCGTCTACCGCCAAGACCGGCCGTCTCTTGGCAGGCCACGACTGGTGACTTGTACACCGTGGACCGGCGCCGACTAAGAACCCTTCAGCCGTCCGGAAAGGTAGGGCTACTTCGGGTAGACTGCCACAGCCCGAGAGAGACAGACGGCAAACAGATTAGACGTCACTGCGGGCCGAGAGCGTATTGTCATGTAAACCCATTTTGAAAACTTTCCGGGCACCGGCACGACGGTTTCGTAACTTGGCCGCAAGTGTGGATTTTTGGCAAATCGAGTAAGGACGGGAATCTTTCGGCCCCGGAGAGTCGCGTGCGGTTTCTCTCATCGCCTCATCAAGACCCGCCTTTTATCCTTTGGCCAGAGATGCATTAGACTTTTGGGGGTGGTGAACTCTTTATACGTATGTTGAGGCTGTGTCGCAGACTCGCAGTGTACGCCTGCCCCTCTGCAATGCCGACGTCATTCGCCATCGTTTATCTCCCGGCAGCAATCAGGTGATCATCGTGCTTTTCCACAACGGTAGCAAGAATCCTTGAGTGCGAGTTTCAAGAATCAAGTATTCGCCTCTTGCCGTAGTGGAGGATTCTTTCAGCAGTGATGTTCTCGGAGGAGGCTAGGTCAAAAGCTAGTCAGATCGAGACATATTCATCCTTGAGATTGAAACACCCCGTTCATGATGGGAAATAGGTCGGCAGAAAGGCTCTTTTCGAGCACCAACAATGGCGGGGTGATATAGTACAATATACAGCTTTGCTACACTTTCAAACAACCTGCCCCCCTCATCTTCGTAAATCCCTTCTTCAATGCTGCTTGACGACCCTGACATTCAAGTTGGCACGCGTCGTCGTACCCAGCTTGTGCATGGCCAGTCGCTTCTCCCATACGGATGACCTGCCCTCGGCGACGGCAATGAGCTCGTCTGCCACACGGTGCGCAAACTGCGTCCGGCCGGACCCCTTGGACGACTTCTTGTTGACCACGTCCAGGATCCACTGGAACGCCGCGCGCCGCCTCTGGCGGACGGCCAGAGGGGCCGGGAGTTCCAGGGGCCTACCACCACCGGCTCCGCCCGCGATGCGGCGGATCTTGATGAGCGGCGCCACCGAGTCCACGGCCAGTGTGAGGTATAGCACGGGATTCAGAGGAAGATGCGCCGGCGGCGGGGCGCCGGGGAGGAGCGGGTATCGCGGGTTGACGATCGGGGGAGGAGAGGTTCGCAGGAAGTTGAGGACCATGGCCATATTCTAACAGGCGCGCGCGCACACGTCAGCATATTCTCTATCCCTCCACTACTTGGGATAATTCCCTATCCTCCAAGGGGTATGCAAGCTTACTCTTTGCGCCTGGGCCTTCTTGCCATCTCGCATCATCAGGTTCGTCAATTGGTCTAGCACCGGGTGGTAGCGAGACTTGAGGTGGCTGTGGGGCGGCAGAGGGAGCGTAGGAAGGGGGAACTTGTACGTCCGAGGCTGTGATGTAGCGACCTCCGCGTCCCCAACCTGTGCGATAATTCCACCGCTGGCCAGGATTTCGAGGTCGCGGAGGCCGTCGCCGTTCGACTGCGTGGGCGGGATGGCGCCCTCGGCGTACAGCGTCTGCTCCTGGGCCTCTGTCAGGCCGCCCTCGATACCGGAACCCTGCCCCTTTGCCGCCTCGGCTAGCTCACTCAGTGCTGCAGCAGCTTCGATGGCCTCGTTTGTCGGCTGCGAGTATTGTCAGCGTCTTTTCTCCTCCGCCGATATATCTCCTGCTCTATTCACCCATACCTGCTTTTGTCCCGGCGCAGAATCAGGGACCTCCTGGCCATGAGGGAAGGCCGCATTCTCGGTTGCCTTCAGCGTCGGGATCTGGCTCCGTTCCGCTTTTCGCAGCTCATCAGAGTATCCTCGTTTTGTCGCGGCCCAAACCAGTGGTTCCTGTCGGGGGGGCAGGGGTCGGGAGCGCAGCGCGAGTGCTCGACAGGCGGTTCGTAGGTTTGGCCGCAGAGACATGGCTCTGAATTTTTTTTCACGTGCCGATTTCGTATCGTACACCGCTGATTGAGGCGATTCGCGGCTTCGGGCTGTCGTGAGGTCAGAGTTGGAAAGTACGTGAAATCGACTGGCTATTCTCGACCCAGCGCAGCCAATCCGTGGTCCACGAAAATTATTGAGTCGCGCGGATGTTGCCGCTCCACTCCTGCAACGCCGACTGCTTACCTACGCCTTTGCAGGTCGACTTGGGTCCGAGCTTCAGTTCGGGTCGGGTGAATCCCTGGTCGTCATCTGGGATAAATAGTAATTCCGATTGCCGCCGGCCGTTCTTGCTTCTACAGGCCATATCCTGGCACAGAACCGGTCGGGGCCGTGCCGCCCATCGAGACGAACCTCAAATTCCTTACCTAAGGCAATCTCAACCCACCACCTCCCGCTCTGGCTCACCGAATATGCAGACCTTCTTCACCAATGCCACCACACCTTTTCGTCAGATCACCATGTGTATCCCACTCAAATCAATGGCTTCTCGTGTCAGGCCGGCGTCCGTCACGAGACTCTCCCTCGAAGCGGCTTCCAGCTCCCTCAGACCCGAATCAGAGGTCTCTATCTCGCAGCTGGTCAAACCAACAATTCTTCCCCCCTTCCCCTCCAATCCCAAGCCACCTGAAGCCGCAACAGTGTCTTGGAACGGAAGACCCCCCGTCAACCCCCATCACCCCCATCCCTTGGCCGATGCGCACGGCGTCCATGTCTTGTTGACATCCCGCACTTTCACCATGTGGGTTTGGTCTCAGAGACAAAAATCCCGCCCCCAAATTTGCCCTTCATGACAGAAAAAGAGAGAGAGAGAGCGAAGTTCCCGATGTCAAATTCGCACCATGGTGGGAGGGACCTACTCCCTATCTCAGTCGCAACCCGCCCACATGTCGAAAGCCGCAAATGCTCGACAAACCGATGAAGGACGCACACCACACACACCTGAATCCATCTTCGAGAAACCCCTCGCTGCATGTTGACCGAATAGGGAACAAATCAAAATCACCGAGGATGGGTGATCAGCTGCCTGCCCACGCTGCACAACCCACCACCCCCCTTGTGCAGATTCCTGCAGCACGGCAGTTAGCGGCTCTTTCCACTTTCTCTGCCCGCCGCGCGACTCTTCGCCTCTCTCACTACATCCCACGGATGCGCAAAACATGTTATCCCTATCTCTCCCCGCGGGTGAATTTGTCCTCCATGGGGGAAACCGAAAGAGACGGAGACAGAGAGAGAGGTCAACTTTTGTCATTCCATTGACAAGCTCTTAGCGTAGACCAGCTGATTCAGCCCCCCCACCGTTCACAAAAGCTAAGCTGGGCCCCAAGATTCCTTCCTACCTACCTTAGGGCACCACGGGTACTTGGATTTTGAGAGAGATAGAGAGCTGCGCTGGCGTGGGATCTGCTGCGGTCCCGTTGCTAGCAGACTCCCTAGCTCATCTTTGTTCAAGGGGGACGCCCACTGCCCGCCGACACCGCAACTACCTCCTGCATTGGTGATAGCAGACACTCAAAATATGTCATCGTGGGGGAGAGGAGAGAGGTGGACAGATGGAGTCTGCGCCCTGCCCGTGCCAATCGACCCCCCCTCTGCGCCCCGTCTTCCTCATACGTTTGGGAAGAGTATTCAGCTTGTCATCAGGAAGCCACTGTTGTCTTTTTCTTCCTTGGGTGAGCTACTTTGCATGTCATCGCCGCAGCTACAACGGAGAATTAATCTCGCTGCACGTGGATTGAGTGCAGGCAGAGTGGCGTGGGAAGATGCGCACACACCATCACGACGGAAAAAGGAAGTCTCGTCATGTTGGTCCTCATCTCTTTTGGAAACTTTGCGAGGAACCAGCTCCGTGCAACGTAAATCTTTTTCTACGTTAGCTATGCCACCGCAGCATCCCTTGCGCTCGTGGTTGCTTTTTCCCTTAATTAACGCCGCTCCGTAAGAAAAAATAGAAAAAAATTTAAATAAAAAAAAAACTGCAACCCAATTACCAACCAGGGCCCGGCTTCGCAACGCCGCCCAACAACAAGGAATTAGATGAAAAAAAGCCCTCAAGGCCCCGTCAACTGTTTTGCCGGTGCTGTTTCGCCAAGGTTCTGTCTCGTGCCAGAATTTCTTCTCCCAATTCCCGTCCCTGTTCCACACGTGTGAAATTGTGAGGAGTACAGAGAAAAACCGTACATGCCGTGTGTGTGTGCCCCCTCTCACCAACCCCTTGTGGATTGATGTGGTGAGAACAAGTGTTTCTTTTGCGCCATTTCTCCTCGACCAGATCAATACCATCTTTCCCTTTCGGAGCCTCCCAATTGACCCGAGCTAGAAATGTAGTCATACGCCGATGTCCCGTAGTGTCCCCTTGTGCCGTGTGGCATTTAGCCAATGTCTCCCAATCTCAACTCCAGGTGTATTCGTACAATTGAACATCCGAAACCAGGGCCCAGGGAAAAACTAGAGCAAAAAAACGCAAGTGGAAAAAAAGAGACACAAAGTGTGACGCTAGAAGATGATGCTCGAATGGATGGTTCACTGCAAGTTGCGGATATCTTCGCACGTCTGTATCGGTCTTTTGTTCTTCTTCTTCACCAGCTGCCTCTGCTGTTGGCTGGGGAGCTGGGATTCGAACCGGTAAGGTAGTTGAGAGCCATCTCGGCCGCGTCTTCTTTCGCGTTGTTGAGATTCTTGCCGTCGTACCAGAATCGTGCGGAGAGGGTACGTCCGTGGACAGTTACTCGACTGGACCAAGCGGTACGGCCGCCTAAGTGCAGAGCAAAGGATCAGTTCAGGGAGCAGATCAGGTGGGGTGATTCCGGGCTACCAAGCTTACCACGGCGGTCAGAAACGATCTGGAAGACGGGAGGCATGATGTTGGCCTCGCGGCAAGCGTCTGTGGGGCAATTGATCAGCTGCTTCGTTCGTAATGGCCGACGTCGACGTAGTAAATACTTACCCTCAAGCCGCTCTTGCCAGGTGCCTGCTTGACTGTTGTACGACGAAGCAGACATGGTGGCAGTCGACGTGTATGACTTGTTGGAGTACATGCAGTGCAATGTTATGGCCGAAGCAACAAAGAATGGATTTTCAAAGGTATACTGTTCGAGGGGGGTGTCGGATCGACAGATATATTGTGCGGTAGATAGTGGTTGTTGGAGTCGGTTTTGGATCGTCGATATTTCTCAAGATAAACGTATATGAAGTAGCGACACTCGGTGGTTCTTATACTCGGATCAGGTCGGCCGTGAAACGGATGGGGATATTCCCATTGGAGTAAAAAGATTATGATGTGGCAGGACGAGATTAGCTAGATGCTGTTTCTGGAGGCAATTAAATGTTTGCACAACAAATGTAGACAACGGGTAAGGGATCAATTGGGCTGGCACCCTACGGCATGCTGCATCTTGGGATGGGGAGAGGTGGGATGAGAGAAAAGGAAGGGAAGTTGAGAGAAAAGGGACATGATCCAAAGAAGTCACAACATCATGCTCCAACTCCGTTTGGGTTTGGTACGGGAGGACCGCGTCGGTTTCCTCTGTCGTTTCTTTTTCTCCATGCCCTGGTACTTGTCTCTGACGAACAGCAGAAGCAGCGGCGGCGGCGGCGGCGGCGAGGAAGAGGGGTGTGCCACTTGGGTGTGAGTGCTTCTGCTTCGTCTGATGCCATACCACAGACCACAGAACACAGACCAGAGACCAGACCAGGCGTGGGGAGTGTGGTACTGGCCGCAGAACGTCGTGATAAACTTGGATCCTTAGCGACATCGGATTATTATTTCCCTTGTTTTTTCTCTCTCTCTGTTCACACACTCTCTCTAGTTTTTCCTCTCTACATTTTCCCACCCTCCCACACCCCTGGACGTACACATACTAGTCGTCGAACCCCCCGCGTGGTCAACCGGTACATGGGTGCCGATAATCATGGGTGATGGACAGGCAGCTGGGAAATATGGGCTTGCGGGACTTGAGACAAGATGGCATAGCTCCATGGCTGTAGGCTGTACAATGTAGGTAAGGTGAATACAAGCTACTTCTGAAGGGAGACCGGGAAATGGCCGCAGCTTTGAGCGAACAGTTGATTGGGACGTGGCTTGCCAGGCTCCCTTACCCGGCGTCCGGCGGGGTCCAAGGCGACACAGAGCTGGCGTGGAGTGCCGACCCGTCGGGGTGGAAGAGGGAAATGATTGGGAGCTTCGAAGCCGCAGAGGCAAGGGCTTGTACAAGGCCAGCCGGGGGGAGGGTGAAGTGGGTGGACGATCGAACAGACGGATGAGTCCTCCGTACCTAGACCGACTGGAGAGCAAAGGGGTGAAAGATGGAGGTGCAAACGGTGGGAAAAGGCAGGGTAAGAGCTGACCAGGGGTAGGACTGGAATCTCAAGCCGAGAAAGGGAGAGGAGACGAAGGTTACGAACAGCGGATGCATACAGCCTGGACGTATCCACGAAAGCGAGCTGTGTGTATCCATATCCAGGCGATGCACCAAGATACGTGCCTGACGTGCTACATGGTACATTTGTAGGAGGGGGGGTTCGTGCAAATGTTTAATCCGCAGGCGGGAAAGCGAACAAGAGACCGAATGAATGAACGCTCCCAACCATATGAGAGTCTAGATACCGAGAATGGGAGTGAGAGTAGAAAGAGAAGAGTAGAAGGAGAGCAGCGAGGCTGGAGGGCCAGAGAGAGGGCTACGATGGCACCACGCCATGCAGTCAACGCTTCAGCCGACCCAAGCTAATCGCAACCAGGGCTGGGCTGGGCTGGGTTGGCTGGCACTTGTTGATCGGTACATGAACCATGAGCTAGGAGGGAAAGCGATGAGGTAAATGAGGGCAGGGGGCAAGGGTTCAACAATAATAGCATTGACATCAGCCAACAAGTCGACGATTGGGCAATCAACAAGCTAGGGCAGAAAGCAAGAGAGCGTGACAGTGCCCAGGCTAAGTAAAGTATACGTAGTAGAGTATCGCTCGCTCCGAGCACTGGGCAGGCCGCAGTGGCATCCGGGATCAGCTTTTGGCGAGAAGCGCCAGGGCCCTCTCTGGCGGCATCGACTCCGCCAGCCGGTGAGGCGAAACGAACCGGGGGTGGGAAATACCAAGTTGCCAAAGCAGCCCGGTGGTTGGGCAAGAAGAACAGACTCGCCTCCATATATTGCGATGAAAGGAAACTCGGTCAAGGCCGTTCGGGCCTCATCGAGACCATCCTCACAGTGACAGACTGACGTTGAAGCATGTCATTTATTTTTGAAAAGCAGGGGGAGAAAAAGGCCGTCGAGCCACGTCGATTTCAATGCGCGATGCGGCAGGAAAAGGGCGGGGAGAGGCGAGTGATGCATGTACTACCGTACTGATGCAGTTAGCGGAGGGGGGGGGGGGGGAGGGGGCCAGGGCGCCCCCGGCTCCCCCTCTGCTTTGGGGGGGGGGGGGGGGGGGGGGGGGGGCGGTCCCTGGGGGTGTGGGGGGGGGGGGGGGGGGCGGGGGGGGGGGAGGGGAGGGGCCAGCCCTGGTCCCTCATCGTCATTTCGGGGGTGGGTGGGGTGAGAAGAAGATCAGGGCAGGGCGAAGAAGTGCATTTCTGGCAGGGCGGGCCAGACCACCGATGATGATGACGATGACAATGATTACGATGCTGCTGCTGCTGTTATTGGTGATGCTGGTGATGCTGATGCGAACAATTATGAATTGTGAAAGACGACAGACAGATTGGGTTTGGTGAAGAGGTCCTCCAAGGCATGGCATCGGTAAGACGAACATGTGGTTGTGAGACCTTCGTGCGCCGTCCCTGCTCCCCCAACGCGCTTGT